ACATGATGTGTTAGCGACTTCTTATATAATTGCTAACAACTGAAGCTGATACTTTTTATGAGGGGGGGGCTTCATTTTTTGTCAACCCACTGTATGTTGAAGAATAAATGAAAAGCGCTTTTAGTTTTCTTCTACCTCATCAATGTTTACAAATGAGCCCCATTGTATAGACTGGTTTCAGGGCCGTAGCTACCGCCCTGACTTTGGCGGGGGGGGGGCGCATGCAAGCACGTTTAAGGGTATCAGGGGCCCCACAGGGGCAAAATGTAGAATTTTTGGGCCTCTAAATTCTAAAAGAGGTCCGCCATGGAGGATTGGAGTTTTTTCTTGTAATCTGGTCTTCTTTGACCATGAGATAGCCCCCTAACAACTATTTAGGAATGACTGGATGATATTTTAAAGAATTAAGGTTGACAAAATAATGATCATATGAGACTAGCATCATTACCACTGATCTATTTATATCGATATCTTTAAATGATTCGCTGAATCCCTGGCAGAAAGATTCCAGTAGGACAATTATGTAGCCTATATGCCGAGCGAATGTTAAGGTGGGAAATTTTGAGATGGTGGAGCACGTCGTCGCGTCACACCAACTGCACTAGCATAGCTTCGTATCACACACGTTCAAGTATAACGCTTTTATTAAGTCTTTCGAATTAGTGACACTATAATTTGCATTACTCAGATTATTGCAAATTTAAGAGCAGTGGCGTAGCCAGCATCGATAATTGGGGGGCCCATATTCATATATTCATGTTAACAGAGTGTAAAGACAATTGATTTGAAAAGAAATTAATCCTGCGTATCACGAATATATGAATATTGGCCCCCCCCCCAATTATCGTTCTGGCTACGCCACAGTTTAAGAGGTCAAATCGTCTACAATTTGTATTTGCAAAGTAAAAGAATAAAATCGACGAACACCCGATTTTTTAAAATACCTGTCCGTTCGTATGGTCACGATTTAGAGCTAAGCCTAGGTTGATGAATTATCGAAAATTATACAATTACATGGCTCGCCTGTAGATTTTGAACTTTCAAATGTATACTGGCTTGACACAATTGAAGCTTCAATAGCTCTGTCCCGATCTATATATAAAATTGCTAACTTTTGTATGTCTGTACTACCACTACAAAGAGCTGGAGTTTGCAATTGATGTAATCCAAATGGCATGGATTTTGCGCAAATACTGTAGATATTTGAACGTGAATGTTGTTTTTAGGTTCTATCATATTTATGACCCCTCAAATGACTATTTCAAAACATATCTGAACTACAACAAGGAGTATTATATAAACGAAAGTGCTCACAAATCAGTTGCAAAAAATTAAAATATCCGGCCAAAACGCTATATACTGTTCATACAAATACATGCTATAAAGTGGTACCTCAAGTGTCGATCACATTGCATTTGAACGTCGATAAGGAATGATTTTCTCTGGCCTGAGCAGCAATATTGTCTATTCGCGACTACCGCAACACAAAGTTTCAAATTACATATCATGTGCTTACTTTGACGTAGATGGATGACGTACACTGATTGATATCTAAAATCTGGTGACCATGTTGCACAGCGGGGCGATTTTTTATCTATCCTTTTATCTATCCCGTTAAAATATATACTGATAGCCGGATAGGGTGCCTGTGATACATATATATACCTCTGTATTCAAAAAGCTATCTCACACTCGTTACGTGTACCTAGAAATTGTTTTGTCACTGATTTGATAGTGAGATAGTCCTTTCTTGTCAAGCTGACATTCTGATTAGCTCCGAGCAGGTAAGCTTTGCGACTAAAATGTTCGTTTTTTGAACAAGAATTATGTACCAAAAATTTCTGAATTTTTCGTAACTTTCTGAACACTTTTTCCTGAAAAGGCATGAGATAAAAACTATAAACATACCTGCAGGTTTGGTGATTCTGTGATTAACGCACCTCGGAACTTGGGAGGCTGGACGTTTCCCGGGAAACTCCCAGCCTCCCCCGTGCGTTAATCACGGACTCACTTCCCTGCAAGTATGTTTAGTATAGAGTGGAACTACCGCAATAGCGTAATTAAGATTTCCCATGCACTTTATGAGTTTGAGTATGAGTAAGCGTTAGAATACAGACGATGCACTTTTACATAACGTCAAATAGAGAAAAGCTGGTACGCACGAGGCGAACGTGAGCCTGCGCTCTTTTGTTCTCTGCACTTCTAGGCAGCGTTCTTGTTTCTAAGAAAATTTTCTTAGAAAGCCTGACTGTATCCAGTGGAGGGAGGAATATCTAATATATTCTTTTCAAATGTTATTTGTCTCAGGTATTATAAAGCATCCTACCGCGCAAACGTAAAAGTCTGCATATTTAAATTGCGAGAGCTTCCAGGTTGCATGTGTAAGAATGAAGAAGAATAATTGTATAGTATAATTATAGTGGTTACGTGTAGACGGTAGTCAAATAATATGTTCTTATTGAGAATTTTCTGTTAAACTTAATTGAAATAATCATACTTTCCCGCGCATTTCTATTTCCCTCGTGCTTCCCAGCTTCCCAGATTGCTCCTGGAAAGGCCTGAACGCAAATCTTTTTGATAATTTTGTGCAAACCGAACATCCGGAATATTTTAGTCGATATTCGTTTTTCCGGCTAATCGCTCTAAATTTAGGCTTCTGTGAATATTAAAACAGCGCGTATATTGTTTCTTAGAAGAACTACATGTGAGCCCATAACTCTCAACTCAGCTAGGTCTTATTCCAAAGCATATAGATAATACCTTGCAAACTAGACAGCTTTTGGTAAAAACGTTTCGCTGAGCCTATGTGCTTCGGCCGATATTCTGAAATTTTGGAAAGAAATTTACAACACGATAAATATGTACTTGATTTCGACTCTCTTTACAGGTTAACTCACTTAATTCCATACTTACCTTAATGCGGTCTGCCATATTTACAAATATAGAAATAACCATTGAGTCTTTGTACCGTCGGTTACTTTCTCAACAGTTTTTATCCGTTTGATGATGATCCTTTGAATGCCATGCATTACGGATGCATGCCTGGTAGTCATCCTGACATGTATGGATCGTGTTGTAATAAAGATGTTTCTACGAAATTCAATCAAGAAGGCTCTAGTCGTTTTATTCAACCCCGGGGCATTATATCACTGGAGTTTACCGTTGCTGCAGCATGACTGGATAATTAAAAAAAGCTGACGCGGATGTTTTTTCATTTGGTGCTATGATAATTACGGGCTGATTACATGGTGTGTTTTCAGCCCGGGCTGTGTTTATTATGCTTCAGAATTATTTTAAGACCGAGCTAAAATTTCAGCCCCGGCTGAGTTTGTAAAGGCTGGTAGTAGACCTATCTCGATTCTTCGAGCGCTTTAAAATCCCGAATGACAATAACTTGACCTTTACTGAGAGACTATCGCCTGTATTCTAAAAGCTCACTCACACTCAAACTCATTGAGTGGGAGATCTTAATCTTCTCATAACGATTCAATGGCGGTATTTTCAGCCGAACAGGGGCTTGATTTTCAGTGATTTACCTTATATCTTTTCATCTATTGAGAGAAAACTTTCTCATTGATCAGCATTAACAAAATTTATATGTCACACTCAATGAGTGTGAGTGTGAGTGAGCTTTTTGAATACAGGCGTATGATTGCATATAAAAGTGAAATAAACAAAAGAAAAAGCATTGTCAGAGCGAATCTTTCTGTCTGGGTTTAAGTTTGTTTTTGATTAAATGACAACAATAGCTTAAACCGAGCTAAAATTATTGTCATATAATCGCGAGGTATACTTTATTGGCATTTTATAACAATACCGGGATGAATTTTCAGCCCGTAAGCCGGGGGGGATGTAACTATTTAAAACAATACGCCATTACTAGTCACTAGAAACCAATGTAGTTGTAGCACCACAGCATCACGCACGCAGATGATCTAATTATTCATAAAAATGACGTTTTTAATAATGACGTCAGAAAATCTGACGTTACAATACGCTTGATTGGTTCACTAGTTTCCTTTCAATCGCACGTTTGACGTCGTTATATATTATGAGAAAGATCTTTTTGATACTGCTGGCTCCTACAAACCAAATGACGCCCTTGAATTTGAAGCAGCTTGTCATCGTATTCTAGCCGTGCAATTACCTAAATGTAGTCGGGTGTCAAAACCAGTGGCGTAAAGCATTTTGTAGTTCGGTCATGTTTTCAGTTCAGGTGAAACGCAAAACGATGCAAACTCGTTCAAGAAATACAATGTACATTATATTGTATTCATTTGTCGTTTCTGTAGAACGGGGTTACTTGTACGTGTTAATTTGTACGTGTCTGAAATTTTATTGTTGCTTCCTTTCAACGTAAATCAAGCAAACTGTATATACATTCTGAATATGATATATAGAAATTAAATAACATATGATTGCAGTAATAATTAGGAGTACGCCATTTTATTTTCAATCTAATCTAATAGTAATGATGAACTGTGGATATTCTGTGCGAAATTGCTGAGCTTTGTATATCTCGCTCGCCGTAAGACGTAGCAATGTTCATGAAAATACATTTATTATTTGGCCATTGTCCTAGCCGCTTGCGCGGCCAGTGTGATAACATGCATTACCACTTTCATTTGCACATAAAGTGTATATTGATTGACACTACTGTAAAGTTCTACTCATGTTGGCGGGGATATTCTAATTGTTTCATCAACTGTTAAGATTAAATTCCCATTTTAATAGCAAAATTTACGACGTGTTTTTCTGCTAGGTAAGTCTAAGTATCTGTATTATGCATCTCTAATTTTGTTTCCTTCATAAACTTAGAGTCATCTACGCGTACGCGAACCACTGTCTCAATATAGATACCAGACACTAGGCGGCAATCTGACAAAGCATTGTATGCTCTACAACTATAGAATTAGTTTCATGAAGTTTTTACCTATGTATAGAATACCTTCGTTTACTTCAACTCGAATTATCCACTGGAAATAAACTAAATATCCGTTTCATTTGTAATTTTTCATTGCATCTTGTACGAGTCCAATATCCTGATAACTTTGAGCAGTATCAACATGAAGCTCACCAAATATTTGTAATCTGATACGAAGAGCTTTTTGATATGATTCTAAGGCTGCCTTGTAACCTTCCATTGTGCGCTTGCTGTATTGTGTGACTCCAATTTGGCGATAACTTTTCGCAGTTTGGTGATGATACATTCCAAATACATTCAATTTGATCTCGAGGGCATATTGATATGATTCTAATGCTGATTTGTAATCTTTTAATTTGTGTTGTTCACGGCCAACTTCATGATAACTATTTCCAGTATCACTATGGTGTTCTCCGTTCAGCTTCAATCTGATTCGTAAAGCACGTTGATGCGATTCTAATGCGGACTTGTAATCTTTCATTTTGTGTTGTGTGACTCCAATATTGTAAAAAGCCACTGCAGTGGATAAATTATTCTCTCCAAACAGTTTTAATCTGATCTGGAGGGCATGTTGATATGATGCTAAAGCTGATTTGTAATCTTTCAAGCCTTTTTGTTCAAGACCAACCCTGTGATAACTATCACCAGTGTCACTATGGTGTTCTCCATTCATCTTTAATCTGATTTGTAAAGCACGTTGATGTGATTCTAATGCCGACTTGTAATCTTTCATTTCATGTTGTGTGACGCCAATGTTGAAATAAGTCGATGCAGTAGACAAATTTTTCTCTCCAAACAGTTTTAATCTGATCTGGAGGGCCTGTTGGTATGATGCTAAAGCTGATTTGTAATCTTTCAAAAACTCTTGTTCAAGGCCAACCCAGTTATAACTATCACCAGTGTCACTACGGTGTTCTCCATTCAGCTTTAATCTGATTTGTAAAGCACGTTGATGTGACTCTAATGCGGACTTGTAATCTTTCATTTTGTGTTGTGTGATTCCAATATTGTAATAAGCCACTGCAGTGGATAAATTATTCTCTCCAAACAGTTTTAATCTGATCTGGAGGGCATGTTGATATGATGCTAAAGCTGATTTGTAATCTTTCAAGCATTCTTGTTCAAAAGCAACCCTGTGATAGCTATGACCAGTGTCACTATGGTGTTCTCCATTCAGCTGTAATCTGATTTGTAAAGCACGTTGATGTGATTCTAATGCTGACTTATACTCTTTCATTTCATGTTGTGTGACGCCAATGTTGAAGTAACTTTCAGCTGTTTTGCAGTGATTCTCTCCAAACACTCTTAATCTGATTTCAAGAGCATGTTGATAGGATTCTAATGCCGACTGGTAATCTTGCAGTTTTCCTTGCGTGACCCCAATATCGTAGTAACTTCGTGCTGTTTTGAGATGATTTTCACCGTAAAGTTTTAGTGTAATTTCAAGAGCTTTTCGTTTTGATGCCAGAGCAGAATCGTGGTTGTTGGTTACGGTTTCCGTTTTGGTCTATAAAGTAATTTTTCGTTGTAGTTATTTATGACGTAACATTGCAAATATTTTCCTTCTTTAATGGCAGAAATTGCCCAAGAAAAGAAATTGCGCGAAAAAGCTGAAAAATTATCTTGACCACGGTAGGAATCAAACCCGCGATATTTTCATTAAAATAAATGCTGTTATTACCGATGCTCGCAAGACGTTATACCGACAAACACGCTTAACAGACCACCTTGCTTGCACCCACCCCAACACGCTGTTTACTTACCTCGTTACCACTATTATATTTCCTCGCATCAGCTATGGCAAGATCTTTCATCCCCTCACAAGGATTATTCATAGCACTTGATCTGCAGAAAATCAGTTATTTTAATTAAGAAGTGAACGTAACGTTTATTTTCATTCTCACAAGGATTTTTATGGTTATAATTTTAGTGGGAGGAATCCGGAGCAATTTCGTGTGTCAGCTAAAACGCATCACCTTGTGCACGTGTTCCAAGTATCTGAGGAATTGGATATTTAATTTTTTAACCGACTTTTTATATTAGGACCCCTAATAAGAAAGTGGAGCGATGATTTCTTCTGGTAATTAAGTGCCCGGCACCGGTACCCAAAGTCGAAACATGCTGAGCACAGAGCCCTTGTTGACTACTGCCTCTAGAGGTTGTGCCCGTTCTTGGACACCGTGTCCAATTTCATTTGGAAGCGGTCATGTTCAACTTTGGCGCCAGAAAAAGTTCAGTGCAGCATTGCCCTCGGTCACTGACTTAATCTGAACGCTGCCTAAAATTCATATAAGCATATTTATTTATGTAATAACACGGTCTCCTCGGTTTCTTTTGTTTCAACAGTGACGTCAAATGACGTATTTCCCCCAAGTACAGGGATGGGGGATATAAATGTTCTAATCACTGAACCATTTTGATAAAGACATCTCGCTAAACAAAACCATCTAATCCATTGTTTTTTCTCCTCGGCGACCATGTTATCACAAACTAAACGCATGCTTTGCGGGATATTAATGATCAAATGTACACTTGAGCCTCGGGAAGTTTTAATAAAAGTAAACCTCTTAAACCTCCTTTGCTAAACCTCCCTCGGTTTGCAGGACGTTTAATCACTAATATCCCTCAAAGAATGCGTTTACTTAATCTAAACGAAATGAAATTATATTGTTAAGACTGAAATGGGGAAAGTGTACTAGGCGAAGCAATGGACTACTGCGTACTAGAGCAGTAAAGATTATTTTTCTGCGTTAATTCAAATGATTCCACACAAACTTGCTCTGATGAATTGAATGATGTTAGTTACATATGTATTTATAGCCGGAAATGAGTATTTATGACACGTATTTATAAACCTGCACATGCCATTGTCGGGGTACACGATTGCCAAGATTGCGTTATAGGCTCATTTTAATACCTCAGAATATCATACGCTTCGTTGAATATCTGCTAACCGCCATCATGTCAAAAGCGCCTTAAATTAAGATTGTTGTCAAGTAATTATTCAAAATAAAAGTTGAGGAAAACAAAGAAAACCGCGTCAATTGTGTATTGATGTACGGTAATAGTACGATTTTCCCAAAAATCATGCAGTTGAGCTATTATTATATCGACGATTATGACAATCGAAACTATGATGCTACACTCTATAAACTAATAATTATAGTAAAAAATGCGAAAAAATGACATTGCCGAAGCCAGTTGTCATTAGCTTGTTGCTGAAAGGGTTTTACATAAATGCCTATACAGTGTGTCTCACTGAGTTTGCCAATTTAACGGAGAATTATCTCATGGCAAAAGTCTGCACATTTGTTTTTAACGATGCTTTTTTAAGTATTTCGGGCAAGAAATCTTTTTACAAGATAGATTCCAGCAGAACCGGTGATTTTAAAATGCACTGCATGTAAAAGAACATTTTTTTAGGTATTCAGAAATCAACTACCAATTCATATTTGTCCTTAATATTTGTCTTCAATAATATAATAGCATGGTACAGCTAGCCGTAGGCAAATTGGTGTCGCAAAAATGCACTTCTTTGGTTATCGTATCTACCATTGAGAAAATGAGTGATATTATCTTAAGGGGTACGAAAGACTCCTCTTTTAGCTAGATGATAGGGTTCATAGAGGTACACGTTTGTTAAGACATGCAGTATCCAAGGAAAAAGTTCTCTTCTGATTTAATATCGCTACTGTAACATTTTTATCAAGTAAATGCCAAATACCTCAAAATCCTGGTTTTCTGTGTGTTCACTTCTTTCAAGTTTTCGATCTTAATTTCCAATTCTCTTACGTCAAGGCCAATCTTTGCAAATTCTTCTTGCATTCGATTTATCATTCTTCCTGAGTCATAATTCGACAATACGTCAATAAATCTTTCATCTGTATAGCAGTGCATGATTACAAGAATATACTCTGGGTCGACATTCTGAACTTCTTGATCATGCCTGGTGCCACCAAAACCTCTCAAAATAGCATCGTCGATTACTTTCATTACAACTTTACTACTGCGGTAGACATCTCGTAGTCTTGCTCCATTGATATTGAGGCTCACGCCTCCGACCATTTGGACATTTTCACTATTGATAGAGAGCAAAATACTTCTATCTACCGATGTTGATTTAATGTCAATCTTTTGAGTCATTTCAGTAAAATTTTGCGATTCCGCCATGATTAAATGTTCTTCTTCATCTTAGCAACTTGTATGGCCTCTGATTTAAAAAGAAATTAAATATGAAACTTGTTGTTACAGCAGACAAATATTTTTCGCTATAGTGTCAAAATGTGAGTGTACCCTGAAAAATATCCAATTCAATATTGTTTCAATATTGTATTTCATTACTAAAGCAAAGTTTAAGCACATATATTGAAGACAACATGTAACATTCTGTAATTCTTGTATTAGTCTGGAGATGCGGAATTCCAGTGCCGAGTTTCGTCACAAATATCGTACGCATGCTGGTTTGAAAAATGCTTTTATTAATATAGAAATTAGAGACACAGAACATTTCTCTCAGAACTCAAAACAGAACTCTCTTTTTTTTGCCAGGTCGATCATATCATAGAGATTTTTAAATGCTCTTAGAAATCAGTGCTCTGATGGTGCCGCTTTCGGGGTTTAACGGTAACATATGTGCACAAACTTTAACGCAATTTTGACGCCGAATATTATTCGAATCGGGTGTATGTTGTTGAATAGTACTTTATGTAATGGTTCTATAGAGGATTTCTCAACCTTCTTTTGGGTGATGTGATTTAGTGGCAGTAAGTAAACATGGCGTCTTTTGCTGGTGTGCCTGCAGCACAAATTTATTTTGGGATCACTTTCGCTGGGAGCTTAAATTCTGCGTTCGGATTTTAAATATAGTGCTTAAATTCTGAAACAAATAAAGAAATAAAACCTGTCCCACACATAAACCTTGAAACTAACCAAATGGTATTGTAGACGTTCAATTTCAAAAAAAATTAAAAAAAAAGGAAAAATGAAGTAAAATGATGGTGCTTTACCAAGATTTGAACCGGGATATTTCGCACGCAGTACGACCTCTCGACCACCAAGTCGTTGCTGAAGCGCTGAAGCATAGCGTAGTTTAGGTATATTTATAGTGCTCAATGTAGAAAATAACTCAAACAGGCACGGTTACAAAGCTCCCATCGAAAGTGATCCCAAAATAAATTTTTGCGTGCCTGCGAGGTAAGTTTATTCCTGATTTCTTTTGAATTTGGGGCTTTTTATCGTATAAAGCATGTAAAGAAATATAAACATGTTATGATATCAGTTTCTTTGAATTGTTATTTCATGAAAACATGATGTAATTTGGCTTTTAGGCTTGTATTTTTTTTAAATTTTGCTCACAAACATTTTGTGCACATACACATGTGTACGTGAGGAATTTATGGAATGAATTTATGAATACTTTTGTCTGCATTTTTCTAATAATTACTGTATGATTTTAGTTATCTTTAGAACATAAAAAGTCCAATGTTCTATTCCATAAATTCCTAATGTCAACATATGTGCACAAAAATTATATCCTAAACGAGCTTACTTATGCCGAAAAAAAATGCAAATATGTGTTAATGTCGATATAAACTAATGAAATCCTTCAAATTTTCTATTTAGTATATTTTTTTAAAGGTTGTTTTTGTTTAGTTTTCTTTATCTCCTTTTCGAATCTACCTGAGCTATTTTTCTGAATGCACCTGGTTTTGAAGAACATTTTGGGGGACTCAGGGCCGAAACTTGCGAGATAATTTGGGTAGGGAATGCGTATCCATTTCTGCCCGACGGATTAATCCGTTTAATTTTTTACGCGTATACGTACAAAAGAAATCAAACGTAACCAACCCCCCCCCACCCCCACCGGCCCAAAACATCGCATCTAATCTTATATAAACATTGTTTATAGAGGGACTGGGGTCAATGTTTACACTTTATGACTACCTTGGTTCCGAATGGTAAAAACTGATTTGACTATTGAGTCATTTCACAATAATATAAGCTTAGGTCGAGTTAGTTCAGGAAATTGCGTGCTTGCTTTGAAATAGCGAGGGGTTGCTGCATGCATGTATTTTTAGTTTTTTAAAACATTATACATTTTAATATCAGTGACAGTTTCTGTCCTGACTTCAGTGGCGGCGCGTAAGGCTTTATTACAAACTATAATTAGCACTCGAAGTTCTAAACAGACAAAATATGTTAAACAAAAAATATGCCCTAGAATCTTGGCCCGAACCATTGTTTTACTGCTTTCAATCGCAAAGTTATTGCTTTCAATTACAATCGCGATTGTATAATTGTCGACATTTGACAGTCCTGCATGGGCCCTGCCAACCTTAACAAGAATAAATTTCGTTTGAAACTCGTGTCTGTTCTTAGATACGTACACACTGCTAGCATCTAGACGTTATACAGCTAAGAATTTCTCTAATATAATAAAAGTAATAAAATAATAATAAAAATAATAATAAAAATAATAATAAAAGTAATAATAATTTATCTATATAATATATTTTGATCAACTCCAAATCCGCCAACGGGAAAGAACTGCTATGCTGCTATTCTAAGGGACTGAATAATCATAATTACTTACAGTTTAGCTATATAACGGAAAGAAATTTGCATCAGAAATTCATCGATTCAAAGCTTAAAACCAGTTTACACATCGTATAGGTAGCATTTAAGGTTTCAAATGACTGCAGCACATTAAGTTAATTTTACTAAATTTTAAAGTCATTCAAACACAGAGAAAAATAACTAAGCTACAAGAATTTTTAAAAATGAAAGTAAAATTTAAGCGAGCGATCATTCCTTTGAAATACACTCCCGCGTGAATGATTTAGACGAAGCTTGACCGCTTCAAGGCTTCCTCATCTATAAATTTTATACCGTCTGTAAATCGTGGTGTATGGAGTGCATATACAGTGATAGAGGTTTTAAGTTAAGAGTTCCGAGTATTCCATAACCCATCGCGCTCTCAAGGCAAACCTTATTGAATTATCTGCACACGACTCCTACCTGCCGATCCTTTTTAGAAACGTTCCTGCACAAGATGTAACGTTTGTGAGATCGCCATTGCAAGAATTAACTAGAATTTAGCGAGACAAAGGACATGATCTTACCGTCAAAAAGATAAAAACGGTTCTTTAGGCGAATGCAAGTCTTCACACTTCTCACAGAATCTGCAAATACGTGTGTTGGCAGCAGGTGAGCATTTCAATTATGCATGGTCTTCAATTCCCTTTTCTGGTTGGAAAATTTGGAAAATGTATGTAGGTTGTCAGATACACACTGTTAGCAACTATAGACGTAAGCAAAAAGTAAGTTATCTCACCTTCATAGAGGACTTTAAACGAATGTGAATTGTGGAGACTTCAAACGAACGCGAGCTTTCAATGTTGTTATACACACTTTTTTATCAAGCTGTGTTATAAAAGCCTTTAGAATAATTGAATATGTTTTATTATGCATTAGCGACTTTTATTGTCTCTTTCTTGGAAGAAACTATCGTTAATGATATGTCTGAAGTGAAAGCGAAAGAAACATTTTCAATTCGTTTGATAGTTAGCAGCATTCAAGCAACCGAAGAAAAGCGGTTTCGAATCCCTTTTAGTTTTTATTACAACTCAGGAATCGAATATGAGCCTAGCGAGCTTGTAAAATGATCACATGAGATCAAATATCAAATTGTCTTTGTGTGCCGCGGAAATGCCGTATACATAATCACCTCTGCTTCGGCCTTATAGTGCTTAAAAATAATTTCTCCGAGGAAAATGTGTGTAGGTTGTCAGATACACACTGCTAGCAAATAGACGTAAGCAGAAAGAAAGTTATCTCACCTTCATAGAGAACTTTAAACGAATGTGAATTGTGAGGACTTCAAACAAACGCGAGCTTTCAACGTTGTATACACACTTTTTTATTAAGCTGTGTTATAAAAGCCTTTAGAATAATTGAATATGTTTTATTATGCATTAGCGACTTTTATTGTCTCTTTCTTGGAAGAAACTATCGTTAATGATATGTCTGAAGTGAAAGCGAAAGAAACATTTTCAATTCGTTTGATAGTTAGCAGCATTCAAGCAACCGAAGAAAAGCGGTTTCGAATCCCTTTTAGTTTTTATTACAACTCAGGAATCGAATATGAGCCTAGCGAGCTTGTAAAATGATCACATGAGATCAAATATCAAATTGTCTTTGTGTGCCGCGGAAATGCCGTATACATAATCACCTCTGCTTCGGCCTTTAAAAGTGCTTAAAAATAATTTCTCCGAGGAAAATGTGTGTAGGTTGTCAGATACACACTGCTAGCAAATAGACGTAAGCAGAAAGAAAGTTATCTCACCTTCATAGAGAACTTTAAACGAATGTGAATTGTGAGGACTTCAAACAAACGCGAGCTTTCAACGTTGTATACACACTTTTTTTATTAAGCTGTGTTATAAAAGCCTTTAGAATAATTGAATGTGTTTCTTATGCATTAGCGACTTTATTGTCTCTTTCTTGGAAGAAACTATCGTTAATGATATGTCTGAAGTGAAAGCGAAAGAAACATTTTCAATTCGTTTGATAGTTAGCAGCATTCAAGCAACCGAAGAAAAGCGGTTTTGAATCCTTTTAGTTCTTATTACAACTCAGGAATCGAATATGAGCCTAGCGAGCTTGTAAAATGATCACATGAGATCAAATATCAAATTGTCTTTGTGTGGCGGGGAAATGCCGTATACATAATCACCTCTGCTTCGGCCTTATAGTGCTTAAAAATAATTTCTCCGAGGAAAATGTGTGTAGGTTGTCAGATACTAACTGCTAGCAAATAGACGCGTAAGCAAAAAGAAAGTTATCTCACCTTCATAAAGAACTTTAAACGAATGTGAATTGTGAGGACTTCAAACGAACGCTAGCTTTCAACGTTGTATATACATACTTTTTTATTAAAGATGATGTAAAGTCCGTTCTGCGCATATATTCTCCCCATAACAATGTTTGTTTACGTTGGTTATATAATCTTTACATGACGTATGTGTCGTTTCAATTTTCTTATTTTCTTCTCGTTCTCGCTCGACCGGCTGTGTTGAATATGCTTATTTTATATTATATTTTGAAGAAAATATTATTATATTTTGAAGAAGATATAAAGCGAAGCTTGTTAAAAAAACCGGCCGTTATTTAAAACTATATATTATATACAGTATTTGTAATTGTAGGACAAGCGAGAAAGTAGCGTCTGTAGCGACGACAAATAGCCTCGCCATCTCGTGTCCTCATTCAACAAATAAATTCTTGAAGAATTCCTTTCAGCATAATATTGCTCTTATCTAGCAGCCTTATCTCCGTCACTCGCAATTCGAGCCTAACATAAGATAAAATAATTGTGTTGTAATACAACGCGTTAATATCGCATATCATTAACATTCCAAAATTTGCTCCCCCAAAATTGCTCCCCCAAAATTGCTGCCCCACTGATGGAATGTGTTGCTGCGCAGAATATATGCGCAGAACGGATTTTACATCATCTTTAATCTGTGTTATAAAAGCCTTTAGAATCATTGAATGTGTTTTGTTATGCATTAGCGACTTTTGTTGTCTCTTTCTTGGAAGAAACTATCCTTAATGATATGTCTGAAGTGAAAAGTGAAAGAAACATTTCAAATTCGTTTGATAGTTAGCAGCATTCATGCTCCCGAAGAAAAGCGGTTTTGAATCCCTTTCATATACCAAAAATAAGCAATTTTAGTAAAAATATTTTTGTAAAATGATATAAGAAACGGGCCATCAAGTGTACTTTCCGTTGAAGTAACCAACAGCGCCATTAAAATGCTTTAAATCTTTTTTCCGTCCATAAATTTTATGCCATCTTTAATTTTACAATACTGCCGTTTTTATGCGAGTGTATCCGTGGATGGTTAGAATATTTACCTGCATGGCTTATGGTCTAACCTGCTTGTAATATTATCTACCGGCATAACCGTCTAAACAAAGTCGGGTGTGTAAAACCAACGGTTTTAGCCCCGTTTACACTGTACCCAATTTATTGGCATGGCACAGCTAAAATAGGGACCCGTGCCCATCTCATCTGTGCCCGGCCTTTTTTTAGTACGCTGAACAATAATAAAATTGGGTACGGGTACCCATTTTAGACGTGCCGTGCCAATAAATTGAGTGTAGTGTAAACGGGGCTACCCGGCTGAATATCATGCATGCAGATAATTTAGGTATTCAAAACAACCATTTTGGCTACTACAAACGATTGTAAAGTGGGCAGTGTTTTGCTCTATAACGTTGGTAAATTTTGTATTTTTTAGACCTTGTATTTTCATCATTACTTGACCTAATTTTACATCCACACTCCTTATATATACAGGGTGTATCAGAAAAAACTAGAAGATTTTAAAATGTCCAAAAAACTATCATTTTATCAAAATATCTCAAAAATATATTTACGTCTAAGTATTTTAGCATCTCCTGGCTTATCTAACAGTAAAAACTATCAGAAAAATTAACCTAAAAAAGCGGGAAAACGGTTTGTAAAAGCCTCATTTTTAACCGCTTGCGCAAAGAAAATGAGAGGTTCAAAATCCAAGTTCATTTAAAGAGATGAAAGTTTGGACTCTTTTGTGCAATGTATTAAAATTTCAGGAAATTTGATAAACATTAAGTCCGCCGTGAAACGTTTCAAAATTGGACTTTTTTTCGTTTACTCCGCTCTCGCGTAACCGTTTTTCATGCAAGAATGATTACATGCATGAGTGATGGTTCAAATGACGTACTTAAAACATAACCAACAAGTCCAACAATGAATACTCTTGTTTCATTGTTTTATTTAACAAAGAGTTCTGGTAATTACACCTGGAGAATGCAAAAGTAGGGCAGAAGTTTGCGTGCAAAGAAATGGAGGACATGTTGAGAACTAACAACAAATTTTGTAAACTCTGCTCTTGTTTGCAATTGTGTACTGTTTGACGTTTTTGTGTAGTTTATTTTTTAACAATAGCATTATTAGATACAGCATCAATGTAAGGAGGTATAACAATAGGATTGTAAGTACGTCATTCGAACCATCACTCATGCATGTAATCATTCTTGCATGAAAAAAGGTTACGCGAGAGCGGAGTAAACGAAAAAAAGTCCAATTTTGAAACGTTTCACGGCGGACTTAATGTTTATCAAATTTCCTGAAATTTTAATACATTGCACAAAAGAGTCCAAACTTTCATCTCTTTAAATGAACTTGGATTTTGAACCTCTCATTTCTTTGCGCAAGCGGTTGAAAATGAGGCTTTTACAAACCGTTTTCCCGCTTTTTTAGCTTAATTTTTCTGGTAGTTTTTACTGTTAGATAAGCCAGGAGATGCTAAAATACTTAGACCTAAATACATTTTTGAGATATTTTGATAAAATGATAGTTTTCTGGACATTTTAAAATCTTCTAGTTTTTTCTGATACACCCTGTATAACAACTCGTGAACTCATTCACGGCCTAATTTTCGTTGTGTATCACTTCATCTTGATTGAAAAATCTCTCCGGAATTAAAAGTTAATTATTTTATGGATAAATGCCTACATTGGCTAAATATCCTTGCCTTAAAATTGAAATCAGAACGCCCCTCCGTGCAAAGTTTTTAGTCCAGTTCGAAGTTTGAGATCTGCAACATTACAGTGGAGGGACTGGGGATGACAACACAACTGAAACTTCGCGTTATCAGGTTAACTAGCTGCTTAGGAATATTTGGCAACAACACGAAAAAGGGAGCTCGTTGAAAACCCGAAATTTTGGAACTGCATGGAAAGGAGCAATTAGTTATTTTTTTCTCGATAAAATTTAATCGGATTTATAATTGTCCTGAATGAAGTGAGCAGTATCATATTTGCCATACAAAATGGATTTGAAACGTGTAACTGAAGTCAGTACATGTCTAGAATTTTAATTAAAGTTGCCTTCCAATCGCTTTAGATGTAAGTTAAACAAATTGTATATATACATTATAAATTATGTGAAAATCAAATAACCTATGATTGACGGTGTTTTTAAACAGTATTAACTATTGGTGAACGCCATTTTGTTTTTGATCTAGTCCGAAGAAGACGTTAAATATCGATCTTCTGTGGAAATTACTCATCTTTGGATATATCCCAACACAAACGTCGCATATATAGCTGCAATCATACGGCAATACAATATAAAAGTGGATTTTGTATCCTTAATATTTTGCTATCAAATACGTAAATACGGGGGGTACTTAGATATTATTTCCCTACTCCAAATACTAGGTGACGTGTCCACCCATCCGTCCTTGAGTGGAGTTCAGAATAATACGAAAAATTGCTTTACACATGCAATTTTTTTCAAATTTTAACGACTGTTCATGTAAAAATGTTATAGCTAATATCAACACAGAATAGTCGTCTAAAGTATTTTATGATATAGCACAAAGATGAAATAGCTGTTAACTTTATAAAGTGCGTGCGAAATTTCTGCGTTTGCAATGAGTTATATCAATACGTCTCTTGCATTAGCAACAAGCGTTTTATTAATTATTAGTATTATATAACATAACTATATGTCCAAAGTATGAGCTATATTCGAATGAAGAAATGACAAGTCTGCGAAAATGTTTGAAATTGGCGCTCTAAATCCTCAATGAATGTGATTTAAATATTGTAATAACGGTGAGCAAGGTGCGGTTCTTCTCCTTCGAATAATGGCAATGCAATTCCGCAGGTTTTATGCCGTAAATCTACTGCTGACGTGTAATAGTTTCCGTCTGATTCATCTAGGTCTTCTGGGTTTAGTTTTGATCTGATTTCCCGAGCCTTTTTAGCCGATTCTGACGATGCCTTGTAATTATTCATTTTATCTTGCGTCATTGCAATTTTGAAAAAACTGTCCGCCGTCCCTGGATGGACCTCTCCATACAGTTTCAATCTAATCTGCAGAGCTTTTTGATGCGACTCTAAGGCTAATGGGTAATCTTTAATCTCATAGTGTGAGGCCCCAATGTTGTGATAACTGTCAGCAGTTTGAAGATGGTTTTCTCCATGTAATTTTATTCTGATTGTAAGAGCTTTTTGATGTGACTCTAATGCTGACGCGTAATATTTCATCTTATGTTGCGTGACCCCAATGCCACTATAACAGTCAGCTGTCTTAGGATGGGCTTCTCCATACAGTGTTTGTCTAATTTGAAGAGCTCTTTGGAACGACTCTAATGCTAATTTGTATTCTTTCATCGCATCTTGCGTGATTGCATTGTTAAAGTAACTGTCAGCTGTGTCAGTATGATCTCCATATACTCTTAGTCTGATTTCAAGAGCTTTTTTATTCGAATGCGATGCTGATATGTAATCTTTCATCTCGTGTTGCGTGATTCCGATGTTGTAGTAAATGTCAGCTGTGTCAGGATGGTCTTCTCCATATATTCCTACTCTAGTTTCAAGAGCTTTTCGATACGACTCTAATGCTGATTTGTAATCTTTCATTGCGTGATGCGTGATTCCAATGTTGTAATAACTGTCAGCTGTATCAGGATGGTCTTCTCCATAATGTTTCAATCTGGTCTTAAGAGTTTTTTTATTCGATTCCAATGCCGAGTTGTAATCTTTCATCTCATGTTGTGTGATTCCAATGTTGTAATAACTGTCAGCTGTTGCAGGATGATCTTCTCCGTATAGTCTTAGTCTGATTTCAAGAGCTTTTTCATACGATTCTAATGCTGACTGATAATCTTTACTCAAATGTTCAATGACTCCAATGGTGAGATAATTGGAAGCTGTCAAGGGGTGGTTTTCTCCATGGACGTATAATCTGATTTCAAGAGCTTTTTGATACGACTCTAATGCTGATTTGTAATCATTCATCGCAAGTTGTGTGATTCCAACACTGTAATAGCTGTCAGCTGTTTCAGGATGTTCATTTCCGTATAGTCTTAATCTAATTTCAACAGCTTTTTTCTTCAAATCTAATGCTGATTTATAATCTTTCATCGCATGTTGTGTGATTCCGATGCCATAATAACTGTCAGCTGTGTCAGAATGATCTTCTCCGTATAATCTTAGTCTGATTTCAAGAGCTCTTTCCTTTGAATCCAATGCTGATTTATAATCTTTCATAGCATGTTGTGTTATGCCAATGCTGTAATAACTGTCAGCTGTGTCAGAACAATCTTCTCCATATAGTCTGAATCTGACTTCAAGAGCTTTTTGCTTTGAAACTAATGCTGACTGATAATCTCTAATGACATGCTGTATGAGTCCAATGGTGTGATAATTGGAAGCTGTCAAGGGGTGATCTTCTCCGTGTACTTTTAACCTGATTTCAAGAGCTTTTTGATACGATTCTAATGCTGACTTGTAATCTTTCATCGCATGTTGTGTGATTCCAATGTTGTAATAACTGTCAGCTATGTCAGGATGATCTTCTCCGTATAATTTTAACCTGGTTTCAAGTGCTTTTTGATAAGACTCTATTGCTAACTTGTAATCTTTCATCTTGTGTTGTGTGATCCCTATATTGTAATAACTGTCAGTTGTGTAAGGATGATCTTCTCCATATAATCTTAATCTGATTTCAAGAGCTCTCTTATTCGAACGTAATCCTGATTTGTAATCTTTCATCTCATGTTGCGTGATTCCAATGCTGTAATAACTGTCAGCTGTGTCAGGATGATCTTCTCCATGTAATCTTAACCTGATTTCAAGAGCTCTTTTATTCGAATGTAATGCTGATTTGTAATCCTTCATCTCATGTTGCGTGATTCCAATGCTGTAATAACTGTCGGCTGTTTCAGGATGATCTTCTCCATATAAACTTAACCTGATTTCAAGAGCCTTTTGCTTGGATTCCAAAGCTGACTCGTAATCTGTCATTTCATGTTGCATAATTCCAATATGGTACCAAGTGTAAGCTGTTGCAGGATGATTTTCTGCATATAGTCTTAATCTGCGTTCAAGAGCGTTACGATACGACTCTAATGCTGATTTGTAGTCTTCGTCCTTGTCTTTGGTAATTAGGTCGTAGTGACGTTCAGTCTGATCAGCATTATCTATTTTTCCCTAAAAAAATTACGGTGTATATCTCATTATCATAAGCTTGTAGATTAGTACACCAAATGAATAAATCAGAAATTTGGCAGTACAATCGATACAGTGACATCAGTATCGACAGTGACAGTGACATATGACAGTGACAATGTCAATTGTGAAGAAGTAATTTTTACAGGCAATTGTAAAGAAGATCGTCCTTAGTGAAACAAAATAATGTTTAACTAGAAATACATGCATGCAGCAACCCCTCGCCATTTCAAACGAAGCAAATTTTTTCCTCAGCTAGCCAGATCTCAATATAATAGCTGACGTTTCACATTTTTCGTCATCATCTCAATATATTAGCTGATGTTTCACATTTTTCGTCATCACCGTTTATCTGCTGCAGGCGTTGCATATTGACTTAGTTAATACTTCAGTATAGCTAAACGTTCAAAACAGCAAAAATAATTTAAATTCCCAAACACTAAGTGTCGAATATTGCTTTTCGTTTATTGAAATCATACAGTGATTGCGGTCGACTCTATATAAAAGCTTCAAAGTGATATTTGTTAATTACATCAAATCTCCGAATTACACTTTCAGGAACTGTTTTTCAAGTTAAAACCATGATGTAAAGCCTTAAATAGTCGGTTAGGTCTTTGCAAAACGACATACCGAGCTCATAAAATGCATTCTTACTGCAAACACGAAATAAACAAGATAGACACCTACCATTTCAAGGATTATAAAGTACGAGTTGTTCACCGCTTAACTTTCACCGCTTAACTTTTCCAGTTCTGCTTATATTTTAATCTCTCCCCAGTGTTTACATACATTATTTGATCCGCATTTCATATTGTGTTTACGAGACATTTTTTAAAAAAATAGTTTGCAAAATTTCAGTTAAATTGCTGACGCTTTTAATTGAAATACAAACATTTTGTCTTAGCCAATCAGCAAGTTGCTAATCACCAGTCCGTACTCGTTTAAATTTCGCGCGTGCGCACAAGTGCCATGACCATTGAACGTCCATGGTCCATAGCATAGAATTTGGACAACTTTGCATTCCGCTATGTTCTGTCACAATTTCCGGGTGTAATTCCTAATCACCCCCCCCCCCCAATTAAGCTTTTAGCTACGGCTTGTGAATAGAAAATAAGTAGAATACGTTGGTGTGAAAATGTCTTTGCAAAAAATTAAGTCGAAATATCAACGCAAAAGGTTGTCTTTTTCTTATATACTTCATATCTTGAGTTGTCTTCAAGATGTCTTCTCTTACATAAGATGTAGCAATTTGGAATTTTTGTTTATCATTTTTCTTGGAAGTTATTTACAAATATGTATTTACCGGAACATTTTTTAATTCCCCACTCGCCACTGCATTAACGTCGATATTCCTCATCATCTTGTGAAGATCTTCGCCTTTATAAGATCTGGTTTGAAGGAAAAAGTTGTTTCTTTTATGTAAAAGTGCTTGATGCATCTCTACAACAAGCTATAGCTAAGACTAATTTTAAAGCATCACACATTCAGAAGAAAAGATTAATTTTAATTACTTAAAATCGGAATGTCTCGCCACGCACCCTGAGGAATTCCCTGGAGACGAGGTTGTGCTGATTACGATCATAAACCTTAATCAATGAAAATATTCGCCTATTTTTGAGACCAGTTATCGCCATATTTTAAAGAATGCTTTTTGTTGAGGTTTGAACGGTGATATTGCCAGGCTGCTGAAGGTAACAAGGAAGAATTCCGTTTAATCTAATCGCCATTACGCCATATTTCTTTACATTATTTAGGCAAAGCCAAACAGAATTCCTAAATTTTTAATACTTAATGTAAAATGGTAAATAATGTACCGTTTTACCGGAAGTAGTAAAAATTTATGCATTCTGAAATGGTAAAAAATGAAATGTTACTGAAATGGTAAACAAACTTGCTGGTTGTTCTAAAACGAAATCCCCCATTGTTGCTGAAGGTGACTTACTGGTAACAACTTAATACATTTCTGAAGTCTTGGGAATTGAATTGTTTATTATATTCATTTTGAAATCAATGATGTTTCTTGCAATCTGATGGGTTAAAAATAGTGTGATTAATTCCCAAATTGCACTATTTTTGAGCAATAATCACATCATTTATAAGCCAATAAGATTGAAGCCTGCACTACAATAACCAATCAGATTTACTATTTCAGTATAACTATCCAATCACATGGCAGGGGAAAATGGCACAAATACTTGCATTTTACACGGTTCTTTCAGCCAATAAATCGTTTTGAATTTGTTTAATTTTTTGTATGATTTCAAAATGAATATAATAAAGGGGAAATTGCACCTCGCGCGTTTGATTTCACACCAGATTGCACTCCACTCAGTGCAATTACCATTATTAATTTATTTCCTAAGTATGCAAACACGCGAGCGTAAAATCAGTCCTAAATTCTGAAAAGAACCGGTTCGGATTTGCAAAACGAAAGATAATCATTCTAGACTTTAAAGCATTGTGTTTAGCTGCCGTTCACCGAATTTATTAAAAGCTTTATAGTTGGGGCAGCACAGTTCATATTTTGACCTAGTTTGATCTATCCTGCGAATGAAAAAGCTAGAAATTTCAATGCTAGCTGTACCAGAGGACATCAAAGTACCTTCAAATTGCTGAAAGTTTTTGCTAATCTCGCGCGCCTCGTTCTTTAGGCTAAAAGTGTATATTTATATACCTCTTGTTGATAGCTTTCTTTGTTTCATTCACCTCCTCCATGTTTTCAATCTTCACCTTCAGTCCTTCCACTTTAATTCCAACCAGTAAAAGTTCATCCTGCAAGCGTTCCTTCATTTTTCCTGATTCGTAATCCGCCAAGACTTCCAGAAACCTTTCGTCTGTGAAACAATGTAACTCAACATGCAAACTTCCTGGTCGAATGTCGCGAGAGTCCTGATCATCGCGATCGCCACCAACACTTCTTGTGAACGCGCTGTCGATTAATTGCTTAACCAAATTATAACCAGCATACAGAGCGCCTAGACCTAATGCTACTTTACCGGCAGTTCTGCACACTTCTTTGGCAACTTCTACATTGTCAGTGCCGATAGCTATCACAAATTTTCCGCCAGTGAACGAAGCACTTGCTCGAAAAGCCTCTCCGAAAAACGCTTCCGCCATTTAGTAAATCTTTACTCTAGGAATGGAACTGAAGCGGACAATGACGGCCAATTAGATTAATGCCATGTTTTTCCTAAAATGCAATTATATTTTCTAGTTTCGATGCGATGATGGCGTGATTCCATGTATACGATATATTGTTACTTGAAATAAAAACGACTTCGCAATACTTTCCACAATTTTTAGCATATAGGATAAACTATTTGGATTAATTCCGCCACCGTCCTTATTTTTATCAGTTATCAACCTGGAACGAGAGTGATACCACGAGAAATTACCCGCAGGGATGAAAGCTTTGTAGGTGATTTAAAATGGAATCACCCGCCCTCGCGGGTAATTCACCTTTAAATTGCATGCCCCGGCTAAAAAAACAGGGTTTAATTTTCCAAACCTCATGATCACGTGGTAGTCACCCAGCTCTTTAATTGGTCAATCTTAATTTAAGGATTTTCTATCAAATAAAGCACAGAAGTTACAGAGCAATGGACACAGATGTAAATAAACCTATTGATGATAGCTCTTCAGTGAAGCCCATTAATGTCACTGCAAATCGTAAATCAGTAACAACAGGGGCGGGTGCCCATCTTTGCTATTTTTCAGACAAGAGTGTCACGCTAGCCGGAGTTAAATCCTGTATAGTATTAAATTATTACTATTATTATTTACGGCATAGTATTATTGTATAGTTCAGGCCTATACGACGACTTTATTAGTGTCCGAATCTACAGTAAGACTTCATGTTCGAACTTCGAAACACATATTTTCAGCTGTACATCACCGCAAGTTTAGTTCTTTTAATTTTAACCGAAATTCCCTCGATGCTTTAAAATAAATGTTTTTTATTCAGTCATTTTAATTGCCCGAAAATTGCCTGTATTATTTATACAGAGTTTGGCTAAAATTTCTGTATTTAGCTACTATTGTTTAATTCTGATTCGTATTCCGTATTTTCAGTTAAAGAAATACAGTACTATTGTCTATATACATACCACACTTAAGTCAATATTGTCGAATATGATGCAGTCCAATCGCGGTGAACACGAAACCAGTATATACTTTGAGTTTTAATGCATGGCTAAACAGGAACTGCTAAAAGAAAGAAATGTATTATCTTGAATCATAAAGCACTAAACCAGTCAATATTCAAATGATATAGCACCACGACATCACAAATGATATAGTATCAGAATAAGGCTTACCATGATGAAGAAATCCCAGTAACACCACAGGCAGCCCGGTCACTGCTGTTATACTTCATGCTATTATATATGTATATAATTACAACAAGACGCCGGTTTAGGCGTACACTCGTGCTCTAGGGATTGTGTTCTAGGGATTTAATAGCATTACTTGAGGGACACAATTATGGCGTGTTGTGGGAACCTATAGCGTAAGTTAAGGCTTTGTGGTTACCCTGGGCCTGGGAGGACTTACACGACAAAAATGTATCACACAAGTATAAAATAATACATTTACATTATTATCACAATTCACAAATGCCGATTATAGGTAGCCCATAAACAATCCGCACGGCGTGACATATTACTGTGTCAATGCTTCTATTATATATTGACTGCAGACTGCAGTGTTTTAGTTCCGACGAAAGCTTTCAAAAATCTAGTTGTAATGGTATTGATTCGCATTGTTCGTAATGTCAGTCGACGGTTCAAACATTTAGGTATTAATAAGTGTGATTTATAAGCATTTGTAGGTCTAAAACAGCGAAAACATCGATCATATATCTTGCTTTCATATAGGAATTTAAAATATACATCGCACCAAGGAATATGCATTAAATGTTGCACCGTAGTAATGTCTTCTATGCATATATTTTTTGCATCCTTCGTATTGTTTGTAAAATGTGGTTTGTATTGTCGGATAATTATATCTCGTAATATACATCGCGCACCGTAGTAATGTCTTCTGTGCAATATATTTTGCCGTATTGTTTGTAAAAGTGGCTTGTATTGTCGAATAATTACATTTCGTCATACATTACTGGGTCAAGCGCGCAATGCATTCTGGGTCATCGGGGTCCAAAACGCGACCGACACACGACGAAACCTAGACTCGTGCCCTCCTAGAGCACGAGTAATAAGGCTGGCAACTCCCTCGCAAAAAATATAATACATACATTAATACCATCGCTTAAAACAAAATACTACGCTAGTTTCTTAAAAAAAAAACAGATACAACACCTTGGATATATTGACTATATTTATCTGTCGTTTTTAGACTTGAAAAAAACTCTAAAATGCTGAAATTTTGCGAATTAAAAGTGTATTTTCGTTGAAATTTTGCGAAACAGAGGCGGGATGCAATTTACTCGACAAACGTCATCATCGGAGAATTCGTCGGCAAACTTCTGATTGGCTGTGGCAAGTTCGGAAAATTACGAAGATCTTTTTTCTTGATTGAGTTGACCTTCGTAATTTTCCGAACTTGCCACAGCCAATCAGAAGTTTGCCGACGAATTCTCCGATGATGACGTTTGTCGAGTAAATTGCATCCCGCCTCTGTTTCGCAAAATTTTAACGAGAATACACTTTTAATTCGCAAAATTTCAGCATTTTAGAGTTTTTTTCAAGTCTAAAAACGACAGATAAATATAGTCAATATATCCAAGGTGTTTTGTATCTGTTTTTTTTTTAAGAAACTAGCGTAGTATTTTTGTTTTAAGCGGTGGTATTAATGTATGTATTATATTTTTTGCCTTATTGTAATTATATACCTATATAATAGCATGACGTAACAGCAGTGACCGGGCTGCCTGTGGTAACACACACTATATATGTACTACGCAGCTTGCCTGCATGAGTGGAGTTGCATTGTGAGTTATGCATAAAATTGATTATGCCAAACACTAATACACTTGTGGGTCCCAACACTCAAGTACTTAGGCACTCAAACTCTAACTATTACATTGTTATAGGTGATTTCAATAGTTTTGTATAATAATTACCCCTGTATAATTATCGTTGATCGGAATTTGATCTAAAAAATTTCTATTATAATTATCTTATTATGCATGCGCGTGCATGCCATCAGCTTGACTAAAATGTTTGGCTCTGGCGATAATTTGAAAAATAAACGTTGTTTGCTACGTTCATATTATTAGCAAAATTATAGAGAACATTACAGTAAACATATAAAGCTCATCGCACACGTTTATCGTACGTTGCTGTAACGCTAATTGTCCGCCATTATCGAACATTGTTTGTTAGCGGGAACAAAAGACAATTGTGTTAAATACAGGGTGAGTAAAAAAACCTGACACCTTTGAAATTCAAATTCGCCGCGAACTTATGGCTGGAATTTGACAATTCCCATGACAGAACCATGTGTACAATCAACAGGACGTGGTTAATTAATGCGAAAGTGTTTAAACCAATTAAACTAATTCAACCTGGCGCGTGTGCTAAAAAAATATTTTTTATTTACAGAGCTTAGAATGCTTTTTAATTAACTTCCAAAGGGAACAAACTTTATGTTTTAGTTGAATTATTTGATATTCGTCGTATACCCATGAGGTATTTTAGGCAACTTCTGTCACATTACAGCCTAATTTGAATTTCAAAGGTGTCAGGTTTTTTTACTCACGCTGTATACTATACATTATTATTCTAAATAAACCATATAATCTAACAAAAACAATATAGGAATTCTACTGAGAGCTATTTGGCATAAAATCGACGAACTGAAAAACACCCATGCGTTCACATGGTCACGGTTTAGAGCTAAGCCTAGGTCGAAACATAAACATTTGTATGGCTCGTTTGTGAATTTTAAAGGGGAAGTCATTGCTCAGAAAAGCTTAGAATCAGATGAAAGATAATATCATTCTTACTTTACATACGAAGTTTTAAATCGCAAGGTTAAATAGAATTCAAGATATAAAGCAATAAAAACGCAACTTTCGCCATATTTGCCGCAGAAATTAAATACATGCGAGCGAACCTGCGATCTAGCAGCGGATTTACTCCGTGACGTCACTGCGCGGTTGAAAACATAACTAAGAGTCCACGCCAAGTTGCTTCTATTGAAAAAGCTTTACAAAAGAACAAATGGATATTTCAAACGGATCTTCAAGCGAAAACTCATTAAGTTCTGGTTCAGAAGACAGCAGGGACGAGTTCCAAGTTGAAGACCATGAAGGAATAATTCAACCGTACGCATTTGAGCCCGTTGAAGAAACAGATTCGGAGTCAGACAACATGGCTATTGATGATGAATCATCACAATCGGGATCTGGAAATGTAACAAGCAGACTCGCGGATATAGACAAAGACTGGTAATTTTACTCTATATTTTAAAAAACCGTAGGAATCGTAGTGGTGAATTATAATTATGAGTTGATAATTTACAATATGTTGGCGTTTTTAATATATACTATAAATACAATCATGAACCGTCATTTTGTTTCTTCCAATATAATACTGTTTGTCGTATATTTAGAACGTTTAAATACACCCAAATTACCATAAAATAATGAAACCGCTCTAAAAATTTATTGTGGCTTTCAGGTGTCTTTGTAGTAACTGCCAGATTATGGACAGAGAAGAGGAATGTGTATGCTGCCAAGAGGTCTCAGCATGTGTTGGAAAAAATGAAGAAGTGGCACAGTTTGAAAATACACCCATTCCAGCTTGTATCACTGATAACTCAGGATTCTAGGCTGTATGCCTCAATTACTGGGTGCTACAGACTGCCTGGAATCAGTACAAACAACAATATGGCACAAGTGCCTATGAGGGACCAGAACACAAAAAACATAGACATGTTGCCTACAGGCAGCTTGTTCGGTGGTGTTTTGGGATAATAGGTAAAGAAATAAGGGTTCCTCTTCCTTCTTGTGCAGTAAGCTGCATTAGAGCACATTTCCCACCACCAGGGTTGGAAGATGATATGGTATTTGAAGGTTTTAGACATGCAGGTGAATAATATGGTAAGTTGTTGAGTTTTTATTCAGCTAGCTTTTTATTCAGATTGTGCCATAATCATAACCAGCAGGCTGCGAATGGAGCTTATGGTAGGTATCTACCTCAACTGTTTATGGTAGTTATCTGCTTCAAGTTTTCCCCATACGTGATCTATGTGCTGCAATCACATCATCTTTGTCAGGCCTTGGAGGTGCAATGTTCTTTGGAATGATGCTAGGTGTTTTTTCCGTCAGGTCTTGCTGAAATAACATCACATCATCCATCAAATGCTGAATGAAATTAAATGCCTTATTTTCCAACACTGGTTTTGCGACCCAATTCTTGCGACCTTTAGGAAATGTGATCTTATATTTCTTCTCACCCTTGTTTTTCCCTTGTTTAACAGTTGCATGGTTTCTTCCAGTGTTGGAGTTATGGTCAATTACCGCCAACTGCGTTCTAGCTACCATTCCCGGATATGAAAAGTGGGTGCGTTTTGGAACATACTTCAGCAGCAAGGAGTGGTATACTTCCAGGTTACCTGTATGGTGAAACTCAGTAAGTTTGGCAATATCCTTTAATAGTTTTTTGTTTAATACCACCTCTTCCAGGGCTATGTGTGGGCAGATCCAGCCTGCAACCATTTGGTTTTACGTTCCTTGTTTCTAGATAAGCGCCCGTGTACACATTTACGAAAGTGCTTGCAATTTCTCCATCTGTGCTTATTTACAACATGGTACAAGATTGACACCCATTTCTCATGAAGCACTTCAGCATCACCAGCACAAGTCTGTGCACACCACCACAGATGATTGGACACTGACTGAATCCATTTCAGTAAGATCTCATTCCCCTTCTTTTTTGCTTTTTTTGTCAATTTTTTGTCACCCATTTTGAAAGATGCCAAACATCATATTGGTGAACTATTTGCGGGTATTTTTTTCTCATCTCTGCTGTAATCTGTGTGTGCCGATCTGTTGTCAAAGATCTGATTTTAATGCCTTGACCAGTTATTTTGTTTATGGAGCTTTGACACCCTTCATTCTCCATTGCATTAGAGGATGAAACTTCAGAGACTTGAACAAGTGAGAAATCAACAATTTTCCCTGAAGTTTCATCCATCAATGTGTATGTGCCATACTTAGCACTATGACCTGGACTGTCCGATCGACCGTCGCCACATAAATCAATTGGATTATTCTCCTTCTTTATACTTTCCACAATTTCTTTCTGTTGCCTCTTATAACTTTTTTGATTACTGGAAAAACAATTTCCTTTTGTACATTATAGAACTGTTGTTTGTTGACAAAATTGAGATTGAGGGCACTAGCAAACTGTTTGGTCGATTCATAGGAACCACCAGTGATTACAGTTGCAGCAGGGATCAAAATGTCTCCAGCTGGCTTGTTGTGCAACTCTGGTTGTGAATTCCACTGGTAAGTATGGTTGTTAAACATGTTGCTTTAACTGTCACCATGCACCTTTATTAGATTTTTCAATCTCACATAAGGAGCCACATGTTCTACATGAAATAAACAATTGATCTAGCATGCTCTCAAACACAATAAATTTTCTTTCATTTTTTTGGTCTTCAGCTTCAGAGTCATCACTGGTGTTCAGTTTTGGACAGACATAGTCATCATCACTATCTGAAAACTCATCTGTGCTGCTTGAACTGTATTCCGCATCTTGTTCTGATTCAGTAGAAGCGGTTGCTTCAAGAATGGTAATAGGTGTTGTAGGTGGAGTGACAATGCCACTGTTGTTTTTTGCCTGGGCAGGTGTCATGGGTGTGGATTTCTTCTTCCGTATGGCAAGAGTTTGTACCTGAATGGACCTCTGTAATGGCTTCTCACACTGAGTTTCTGCATCAAGCAATATAATATGATCACAATATGTTTCTGCATCTCGAGTTGAAAATCCACCAGTGTCATGTTCAGTGCTTGTGTCAGTGAACTCATCATTTTCTTCAGTGTTTAACAAGGTTGCTACTTCCTGTAAAACCAACTAATTTATAAATTAGGGTGAAAGACTAACTAACCCAGTATTTACTTTATAGGATACTTTGCCTACAATTTTGGGAATTTTTACTAATATTTATTGGGATTAAAAAAATATTGGGATTAGCATATAAAGAGCTAAGGCCTTGTAATAATGTAGTTAGTACGTACCTCGACTCTTCTAATTTTCTCTCTGTTTATTTCCCTTTTTTGTGATGATTCCCGTCCTGGTTTTCGATGTACAAATGGAAATATCGATGGTACACTTCCAGCTTTCAGTGCTTTTTTTGTTTTCATGCCAAATAACTCTTTAAGAGAGCTTTCGAAACATTCAGGGGCGAAATGCGCGCTACAAACATAGCATGAGTTTGCTTTCGGTAGGTTGTCGCGTCGAATCCGCCTGAGCCATATTTTGCGCAACTCATTTGGCAAACGATGGTACGATACCTCGCTCCCTTTCGTCTTCTTCGAGCAGTTCGTAGAACCCGGAACCATACAATATGGCATTTTTTGAAATTTTAGAAATCGCTTGTAAAATGTTGCTGTATTTTATAGCTTTGTTTATATTTGAATATGAAGCGCTCCCGCGAAACCGCGCAGTGACGTCACGGAGTAAATCCGCTGCCAGATCGCAGGTTCGCTCGCATGTATTTAATTTCTGCGGCAAATATGGCAAAAGTTGCGTTTTTATTGCTTTATATCTTGAATTTTATTTAACCTTGCGATTTAAAACTTCGTATGTATAGTAAGAATGATATTATCTTTCATCTGAGCCTAAGTTGTCCTGAGCAATGACTTCCCCTTTAAGCTTTGAAATGTATTATGTATACTGGCTTGACACAATTGTAGCTTCAAAGAGAATGTAATCCGTAATCGAGCTCTGTCCCGATCTATATATCAAAATATTTCTATATTTACACTACACCATTACAAAGAGCTGCAGTTTCATGCAATCCAAATGGCATGGATATTACGCAAATACTGTAATTTTATCGTTGTTTTGAGATTCCATCATATTTATGACCTCTCAAATACAGTATGACTATTTCGAAATACATTTGAACTCCAATAAGGAATATTATATAAATGAAAGTACTCTCAAAATTCATGCAAAAAACTAAAATGATACTGTTCACGCAAATTTAACAATAAATGGTACCTCATGTCGATCATTGCATTGAGCGTCGATTAGAAATGATTTTCTCTGGCTTGGGAGCGTAATAATATTGTTTATTCTCGACGACTGTCTACAACATCAAGTCTTAAATTACATATCACGTGTTTATTCTCGTGACTAAATGCACTGGTTATTTTGACGTACACATGTAAAAATCTCGCATCTTGTCTAAAATCTCTCGCCAGAGTCTACAAGCTTGTAGCTAGTCTGCTGCGGATTTGTAGCAACTTGTCAACAAAGCAGTTCGAACACAACTTGATATCAGCTTGTTAGAATAATCCGTTGTAGAATCCGTTGTTGCTATAGACGCTACTCTGCTACGTTTGTCACAACTTGTGTCTTTTGTGTGTATATATATATATATATACTGTGTAGATTAACTGGTTTACTATAATACAAATAGACTTTTATTTTAGTTTTATATAATGACGTGCAACAAGAAGAACTAGTTGAAATACTTGCTTAGATTTTGATATGTTATAGTTATATTTTGAAAGAAAATCTAGGGATATTACCTACTTTTTAAAATCGGTAACCATTTCGGAATGTCTCTAAAATATGCAAAATACGAGATATGCAAAATATGAATTAATTAAACTTTGCTCGACTAAAGCTGAACGCACATGTCACCCCGTGTCTGGGGACGATATTCTTCTACAAACAATTTCACTTTGACTTGAAGATATTTGTTGTGTGACTCAATGCATATTTGTAGTCCCCCATCTCACATTGTGTGGCTCCAATGTTTCCGTAAAATATTGTTAGCTATATCCGCAAAAGTCGAAATGAAGAAAGGACTCAACGGAGAAATTCTCAAACTTTTTTTACGAGTATTGATATAATCATATATAGCTATACATACTTTTCTGCTGTTGCATTATAAATCTTTGCACTTCTAATCAGTCTCTTTATAATTTCAATCCACAAATAAACCTGCATTAGACAGACTTTTTACAGACTTCCATTACAGATTTTTGGCCCGCAAAAAGTGTTTACTTCTAGTATAATACCTGAGATTGCTATCTGTAAGTCATCCTCTTTCCTCAAGCGGGGGGGGGGGCAGGTGGCGAGCTAGCTAGGATTCAGGGAGGTCATGTGATCCTGAACTTTGGTGACCCCCTTCCATTCGGAGTTTTTGGTCTTTTTTAAATATGACTAACGCCAAAACTTGTTCGAAATAATCCAGTACTGGTTTCATATTTGGTCAATTTATTTGAATTTGACGCTGTTTTCTCAGTATATAACGACGTAATTTTACTAACTTTTTTTATGGTGAATTTTTTGGAGATCTCCCTCTAGTGACGTAACGTGACTACCTTAACTCGGGAGTGCAACCTCTAAGTTTTACCGGCGAACCCGGGGAATTCTAAGCGCGTCTAAAGAAAGCATATAATTATAGCTTTTTGGTTGGTCGGTTCGTGCAAGTTTCAATTAGTTATCAGAGATTAAAAGTTATTATCATTAGTTAGTATAGATTAAAATAAATTGCTTAAGTAGCTATATATAGTATATATAAATATTATTCACTGACTTAAACTGTAGCATGTTTCGATATCATTAGTAAAGTCAATATTATTACTGGCACATAATTATTGATTAGACATTACATGCAAAAGCTCGAGAATCTGTTTGACGATATATCAGCAGACGAGTAAGACGATTTGTCAAATTACGGCAAGCAACTAAGCAAGTTGAGAAAAGTTATACTTTTTACCAACGCTTGTGTGCTATTACCGACCGACGTCGCGTTTAACTCACCACGTTGCCAAAACTAGGGGTTGTAGCACCCCGCCACACCCCTCAGACAATAGTATTCGTCCTGCTTTTCCAAGCCAAAATTTTAACCATTAATCACGTCGAATAATATACAAATAAGTTTGGTAAAAATAAACTAAAATTGCGGATTTGCTAAAAACCCATGCTGAGCGCTGGCAAAATATTACCTGGAGGAACTTTGGTATGCCTTGATTTACAAGAAACAAACAGGGCAAAATGTAAAAATTCAATGAATTTCTCAAATTTAAAAATGCGCAATGTAATTTATGGTGCCGCAACTGAAAGATATTTGAACAAATTATTTACGGCAATCTGCATATTCCAAGTCCGTGCCCTTCTGGCCATTGTTCGATCAGTGTATCCATCATCGGAATAACTTTAACCTGTGTCAAGATTCCCCCGGTATAGTTTATTTGTTCTCGAGATCCTTCGATGCTACTCTATGCTATTCTACGGTTGACTATTAGTCTATTACTGTCTATTTTAATATAATGGGGGGGGGGGGTATTCAGGGTATTCTTCTCCATATAGTGTCGATTTCAAGAGCTTTTTGATTCGCATATAATGCTCAGGGCCGTAGCTAGACCGCTTAATTGGGGGGGTGTATATTCATATATTCATGTTTATATACCATAGGAACAATAGCATACAAAAGAAATCATTCGGGCATATGACGAATATATGAATATGCACCCCCCCAATTAAGCTTCTAGCTACGGCCCTGATAATGCTGACTTGTAATCTTTCATCTCGTGTTGTGTGACTCCAATATTGTAATAACTGTTAGCTGTTGCAGCATGATCTTTTCCGTAAATTTTAATCTGATTTCAAGCGCTTTTTGATATGACTCTAATGCTCATTTGTACTCTCTTATCTCATGTTGTGTGACTACAATGCTATAGTAACTGTCAGCTGTCTCGGGATAATCTTCCCCACGTAGTCCTAATCGAATTTCAAGAGCTTTTCGCTTTGACTTCAATGCTGACATGTAATCTTTCATATCATGTTGTGCGTATCCAATGTTGTAATAACTGTCGGCTGTTGCAAGGTCATCATCTCCATACACTTTCAATCTGATTTCAAGAGCCGCTTTTTCATGGGATTCTAACGCTGATTTGTAATCTTTCATCTCGTATTTTCCCACGTATTTTCTCTAAGCAGGGGCGATTATATTCATGATCTGCAGTTGCGCCGCTGCGTGAGGGAAAAGGATAATCTTGGAACTTGTATCAGCAGGGCTTCGCGGTCAGAGTATCAAAATTTATTTTCGTATTATACAGAAAATGCGTCGGGCAGTTGAAGCTACAGAAATGCAGGTACATTTTAATTTTATTGCGAGTGTTGTTTACTCGGTAAGAACTGTTTCAAAGTTACATATATGGGCACGAGAGGTCCGAAAGATAGGGAGAGATCCGAACGAACGTACGAAAGCAATGCACACTGTAAAAACAGCATAACCAATTTATTTGGTTCCCTCAGATAAACAACCAATTTCAGTTTAGTTGTTTTTACAGAAATGAAATTAATCAAAAAGGGATCGATCTAAGACAACCCATTTTATGATGCATGTTGGTGGAGAACTGGCAATTGTAGTCATTGCGCCGAAAGGCCCGCGCCTAAACATATTCCTGAACACATTTCACAGAGTCTGTCAGGCAGACAAATACAATCTGTTCCGCACATGCAACTAAAACGAGGGCTTTTACCCACGTTAATTATGACTGGATGATATCAAAATCCGTCGCATCGATCTCAATTTTTTCTCCACATGTAAACGACAAACCTCGAATCCTTTCTAAATTGTGCTGATATTGCAATCCTCCCTCATGGGGAAAAACCTCAACCCACACGGCGAAGGCAAATATTGGAGGCATATGCGATTTTTGAACTTATATATCTGTTAAAGTGCATGCATATTAAAATTTATAAAAGAGCTTCCTACAGATGTTGTGCAATCGTAATTTGTGACCGTAGTCGGGAAGATCGTAAATAAAAAATAGAAGTTAACATAATGGTATTAAACGTGGGTGTTGTCACTGTTGTGACATTTCGCTCCAAGCCCCCGTCAGCAGCTGCATGCCTACTTGCGAGTTATTATAAGTAATACCATGGTTTTTAAGAATATAGTAATTAAATCTCCCGCAAACCGAGGACTGTTTGTGAAAGTCCCGAGGGAAAGCCAGCGGGCGAAGCCCAAAGGCGTCCCGAGGGACTTTCACTAACAGTCCTCGGTTTGCGAGAGATTTAATCACTATATTCTTAAAAACCATGGTATTAGTTTGTAATACCATGATCACCGAGGTGAAACTAGTGTTTTCATAATTAATTGATAGTAGGAGTATTGTGTAGTACAATGCATGATCAGTGATGTATTGTACAATTTTCCATTGTTTGGAAATTTGTTTGTGAATAAGCAATTAAGGCTTGTATAGATTATGAAGAACGTGCAAGTTCGAAACTAGATTTCAGCGGGCTACTACAAGGAGCTAGTTGTGGAACTGTGAACATCAACATTAATATCAGTAAATAAATCACTGTCTTTATGATATAATTGTGTGAAATGTTTAGTGAAAAGTGAATATTAATCAGTATATAGGGTAATTAACACTTTATCTTAGTGTCATTAACATTGTGGTTTAATTATTTTCTTTGTTGTGTAAAACGTATTAAGAAAACTCTTTGTCGTGTCTTCGAATTTTGGCTCATGAATTTTAATCAGGGAGAAATTAGAAATCTGCCCGGCTTTGCCGGGAGATTTCGAGTTCTGCCCGCTAAAGCCGGGAATTTCGCAATTAAACCACCTGGTGAGAACAAAAGAACCCGAGGTGATCATGGTATTATTTTACACAATCCGCTAGATTCTTTTAGGTACTGATGAATAATCTGATTCGAAATGTTTTTGGAATCCCACTCAGACTAGTCAAGAGAGAAAACGGTATAATTCTTAACAACGAAAAACAAGGAGTACTACTCTTGTACGATAATATGATATGTTCTACCCTATGTATTTGAACCTAAAAAGTTTATGTTACAAATTTAGTTACGCTGTATTTCAACTTAACACTATATATTTACTAATAATAGTTTGTTTATTGGCATGTGTCAGCCTCACGGCCACAGGTTTTTATGGTATAGTTGGACACAATAATCAACATTTTACTGCAATACTTTACTTCTATTATTAAAATCTAAATTAAAATTCTAAATCAACAAGCGATATCTTCAACAAGTATCTGACTTCTACTCGTATTACATCACTCTTCTTGTCTCATTTATGTGCGTGTCATCTGCACACATATATAATTTACCGCACATGCACCGTCTAGCTATCTAATGCGCTTATTAATCTATACTTATACTTAATTAATGACAACTCTCAATGACAACCATGCTTGTTTCGCGCTCGTACATGACATTTCTGCTGCATATGACACAATCATATAGAGGAACCATAACAGAATTCTAATAAATATGCGCGAGTCTATTAAACTAACATTTGCGAATAAAAACTGGAATTTAGATTACATATTAGACAAGATGCTCTGTATATCCTCTAATATGCCCTAACAAACAAAAATGTAGTTCAATTTTTCTAATGTTCAGATGCTCTTCTCTACAAATAATCGCTCCAAATTGGCGGTTTCGTTTGTATCTGTCCAGGGCTGGCCTTATTATTCAAAAGACCTTTTACCCGAGAAATATCGAGATCATACTCAGCCATCTCAGGATGATCTTCTCCGAAGAGTTTTACTAGGATTTGTAGAGCTTTCTCTTTGGACTCTAATGCTGACTTGTAATTCTTCATTTCCTGTTGTGCGATCCCAATTTGGGTATAACTATCAGCTGTGTCGGGATGATGTTCTCCAAACAATTTCAATCTAATTTGAAGAGATTTGTTGTGCGAGTCTAATGCGGATTTGCAGTCTCCCATCTCACATTGTGTGGCTCCAATGTCGGCGTAAATACCGGCAGTTTCAGGATGATTTTCTCCATGTAAATTCATACTGATTCTTAGAGCATGTTCATGCGATTCTAAAGCAGACTTGTAATCTTTCATCTGACGTTGTGTGATTCCCAGGCTGCGATAACTTACAACAGTATCGTCGTGGTATTCACCATACAGTTTCAGTCGCGCTTGTACGACATATTGATGCAGGTCAAGTGCTGCGTGGAGGTTCCTCATTGAACGTTGTATGATACCAATTTCACGATACGTCTCTACGGTGTCTGGATGATTTTCTCCATATATTTTTAATCTGACTTCGAGAGCTTTTTGTTTCGATTCTAACGCTGACTTGTAATTTTTCATCGTATGTTGTGTAGAGCCGATGTTGGAATAACTATTTGCTGTGTCGGGATGATCTTCTCCAAATAGTTTTAATCTGATTTCGAAAGCTTTTTGATATGAAACTAATGCTGACTTGAAATCTTTCTTCTCATGATATGTAACTCCAATGCTGTTGTAACTGTTAGCTGTGTCGGGATGATCTTCTCCAAATAGTTTTAATCTGATTTCGAAAGCTTTTTGATATGAAACTAATCCTGACTTGAAATCTTTCATCGCATTTTGTGCGTATCCAATGTTGTGGTAACTGCTGGCTGTGTCGGGATGATCTTCTCCATATAGTTTCAATCTGATGTGAAGAGCTTTTTGATGTGAAACTAATGCTGACTTGAAATCTTTCATCGCATTTTGCGTGCATCCAGTGTTGTGGTAACTGGTAGCTGTGTGAGGATGATCTTCTCCATATAGTTTCAATCTGATGTGAAGAGCTTTTTGAAGTGAAACTAATCCTGACTTAAAATCTTTTAATTCATGTTGTGCATATCCAATCTCGTTGTAACTGTTAGCTGTGTCGGAATGATCTTCTCCATATAGTTTCAATCTGATGTGAAGAGCTTTTTGATGTGAAACTAATCCTGACTTGAAATCTTTCATCTCATTTTGTGCGTATCCAATGTTGTTGTAGCTGCTGGCTGTGTTGGGATGATCTTCTCCATATAGTTTCAATCTGATGTGAAGAGCTTTTTGATGTGAAACTAATCCTGACTTGAAATCTTTCATCTTATTATGTGTGCATCCAATGTTGTGGTAACTATCAGCTGTGTCGGGATGATCTTCTCCATATAGTTTCAATCTGATGTGAAGAGCTTTTTGATGTGAAACTAATCCTGACTTGAAATCTTTCATCTCATTTGTGCGTATCCAATGTTGTGTAACTGTAGCTGTGTGAGGATGATCTTCTCCATATAGTTTCAATCTGATGTGAAGAGCTTTTTGAGTGAAACTAATCCTGACTTAAAATCTTTCATTCATGTTGTGCATATCCAATCTCGTTGTAACTGTTAGCTGTGTCGGAATGATCTTCTCCATATAGTTTCAATCTGATGTGAAGAGCTTTTTGATGTGAAACTAATCCTGACTTGAAATCTTTCATCTCATTTTGTGCGTATCCAATGTTGTTGTAGCTGCTGGCTGTGTTGGGATGATCTTCTCCATATAGTTTCAATCTGATGTGAAGAGCTTTTTGAAGTGAAACTAATCCTGACTTAAAATCTTTTAATTCATGTTGTGCATATCCAATCTCGTTGTAACTGTCAGCTGTGTCGGGATGATCTTTTCCAAATAGTTTCAATCTGATGTGAAGAGCTTTTTCATGTGAAACTAATCCTGACTTGAAATCTTTCATCTCATTTTGTGCGTATCCAATGTTGTGGTAACTGCTAGCTGTGTCGGGATGATCTTCTCCATATAGTTTCAATCTGATGTGAAGAGCTTTTTGATGTGAAACTAATGCTGACTTGAAATCTTTCATCGCATTTTGTGTGCATCCAATGCTGCTGTAACTGTTAGCTGTGTCGGGATGATCTTCTCCGTATTGCTTTAGACTAATTTCAAGAGCTTTTTGTTTAGATGCCAGTTGTGAATCACGTTTAACCATTTCTGTTTGTAATTTAGCCTAAGAAAGTAATTGCCCTTAGATGAGTTTTTTGTATACTTTTTTTTGGGGGGGGGGTTAAATATTCATAAATTCGTCTTGTGCCTCACTTATTTCTTTTCATAGCGATTGTTTTTACGCCTATTTCAACATTAATATGTAAAAAATTCTCCCTCCCCGCAATTAGGCTCGAAGATTCCTCTAACACACTCATCGGTTATAAGAAAACAATCGCAAAATTTAACTGCCTTCAGTTTTCCTACCTCTTTATCTTTATTACCATCCTCCACATCACTAATAACAAGACTTTTGATGTCGCTAACAGAAATATTCTTGGTCCGGGACCTGCGTTTATTATGAATAGATGAAGTTAAAAATTACAATATCGACTATAATATATTATTATATGGCACGCGGTCTTGTGACTAAATGGCGTGCGCTGATTGGTTCTTTGCCGGTCTGGAATGCCCCCATATTAGACTGTTGTCGTGGTAACGGTCCAACTCTCATATTATTGAACAAAAACAAGCTTGCACTTTCATTTTTGACCCGAAAAATATCGACGGAGAATGGACGAAGAAGAGCATTATTAATTTTGGTACATGTGAATATTATATTTATTCATCTTTGATTTTTGTTTATATTACTGTACCATTCTTATTTAACGAGTAAAAAACAAAGTTTTGGAAGCCACTTCAGTTCTTGCTTGGCGACTGGCTGGCGAAAGAGCCGGCAAGAATGTTGCAGCGCATTGTATAAATAAATAAACTAAATACTGTATGCCATATAATAAATCCCTTATTAACCGAATACATTCGGTCCGTACTGGAAAAATATCAGACTTCGGTCTTTTATGTACGGACCTGGCTATCGCTCGGTCCATACTGTCAAGACCTCGGTCTGATATTTTTCTTGTACAGACCTCAAATTCGGTTAATAAGTGGTATGTACTATACTTCGAACAGTGTAATTCTCTATTAAGAAAGTTAGCGCGTTATTGTTTGGTCAAGCTACCTCGTATAGTAGCTGATAATATACCAAGCTGTCCTTTTAAAGTGGAGGTGAAGCCCGTTCTGGGCATCGGTTCTGCTCGCAACATGTGAGTGCGTGAAAGTTCCAATGTTTCGTAACGTAACGAACCTAAATAATTTTAGATATAAAGAGTATGATGCTCAAATTTCAAACGAACCGTTTGTTTACATACGGACTTGACTTCCGGAAGCACTTAACATCATGACAGTCGTTTTCTCAAAGCTATTTATAACGGGTGTATCTAAACATTGTAAAGATACTTTAAAGCCAAAAATAGCCCGGCAAAAGGAACGCAAAGAACAGCAGGGGAAAAAAATGGTCGGATGTGGAAACGAAGGATTCAATAGAAGCTTGGGGTAACGAAGTCATTCAACACGTTATGATAAACAAAAACACCGAAACTAAAACAAAGAGATTTGTTTTTTAAACAACGCATGATTTTATCACATTTTTACTCCATGGCCTAAAGCTTTGTCTCCAATTCCTTCTTTTCCTCAATTAAGCCATGGCTATTTGATTTAATTGTTGCTTCTCTGCGTTGTTAATACCCACCATTTAAGTTTCCTGCCAGAGAATGGTAGTGCACGGCTGACTTATATATATAGAAACGGCGTTTGGTTATGGGTGCCAAAAGTATCATATTGAGCGCTTTTAGGATTTTGTGGCGCGCGAGATGAGAAAGAAAAATTCCGTTTAAACACACTGTGCATGGTGCCAATTTCTTTTGCCTACGTTCCAAAAATTAAGCGTGCATAATTTGCATTGTGACACCACCTCGTACCCAGGGCATTTTGCCTGATTGTGACATGCATAATTTGTGGTTATATTTTATGTAAGAGTTATTAAAGTGTGACATGGTTTAATGCCCCCTGCGGCGGTTCGATGCACTCGCAACGTAATTCTGCTTCTACGAAATGTTAATTACCGAAAAGTCATTGTAGTCTAAAAACAGTAGTGTAATAAGCGCAAAACTTCCGCAATTGCCATATATAAATCCATTAAAATCATGAATTGTAATGCAAGTTGCATAAAAATTACACTGTTTAATATGGCCTTATCAGGGAATGTGCGAGAGATTTGTTACTTGGGTGGTTCAAAATTTCAAATCGGAGTTTCTTGTGACTTTGAAAAACTCACTCGTGTATATTCATGTTATATCCAAATTGAACTCGAAACCATGCTATTCATTATACATATAGTTACAAAGCATTTCGTTGTCACCACCCTTCTCCCCACCCCTTCCAAGAAAAATATGGGCTATATTGGACGACTTGCGCTTTAGACAAATTTATCACCTCGGCAATAAAAAGGACATTTTCTGAAAGAACTCATTAAACTTAGTAAAACTGCCAAGTTTGGCTGCGAATTGTTGTAAATTTCGGAAAATATAGCCATGCGAAGTTTACGAATTTTGTATACTTTCTGATACGGCCGGAAGTGTGTCCCTAATTTAGTTACGCATTTCCATGCACGTAATACAAAAGCATAGAAAATATGCCATCTTCGCATGCCTATATTTTCCGTATTTTACAAAATTTCGCAGATAAACTTTGCATTTGCACTAATTTAAGAAAGATCTTTTTAACTGCATGTGATGATTTATTTTCTTGTTACTTCGATCAAAAATTAGTCTAAAGCGCGAATCGTCCATTGGGCTATAAATTATTCTCGGTAATAGATTGCATAATAATTTCGTAATAATCAGACATTTACCTCTTCATAATTACTTCCTTTGTTTCATTCACCTCCTCAATGTTTTCAATCTTCACCTTCAGTCCTTCCACTTTAATTCCAACTTTGGAAAACTCTTCTTGCAAGCGTTCCTTAATTCTTCCTGATTCATAATCCTCTAAGACTTCCAGAAACCTGATGTCTGTGAAACAATGTAACACAACACGCAAAGATCCAGGTTTAACGTCAGGAGGATCTTGACCATCGTGGTTGCCACCAAGAGCATTTTGCACTGCAAGGTCCACTAATGGTCTCAGTAATTTATAACCAGCATACAGAGCGCCGAGACCCAGACCTAGTTTGACTGTGTTCAAATTTATCTACCACTTCCACATTGTCTGTCTCGATATGGAAAAAAAATTTTAAACCGAAAAGGGATCCGCCCCCTCGTATAACGTGTCTAACTGCCGAAGAACTGCCATTCAGGATATTCGAGACAACAAACTAAAAAACAATAGAGAAGTTCAGAGCGTAAAGAATTTGTGTGAGACATTTGGCGCTACCTCACGTCATCGGAGGAACTCAGAATTACTTTATACAATCCTTGAAATATTTTCTGCTTTTTCTGCTTTCGTAATGATTTTATACGTATACTGAGCAACACTATTATACTACAAAATATACTACAACATATCGCTGGTTTTATTTTCAGAAATAAAAACTAATATGTTACAGCAAACCCACCTACAAGATTTAATTTTTGGTATTTTGACAATAATAATAAACAGTGGGGGTCAAAAGTCTGAGTCCAGCTGATAATATTTTTTTTAATTTACAATAAATGATATCTTGTGAATTGGAAAATGGATTTGTTGATATGCACTTGTGCATTATATGCACAGCTTTGTATAAAGATTAAACTTCTCTTTACATGTGGAAGTCTGGCTGTATTTTTGTAAGAGAATACAAAACACAATTGGTACTGTATTTTATGAAAATCCTTAGAAAAATTGTCTATTTCTAGACAAAGATTTTGAAACTGTGCGCTCTTAATCACCAATGAAGCAAAGTTCAAATTCACTCACCACCGAACAATTCACATGCATCCTTACAGAATTATCATGCAGAACGACCGTCGACCAGATATAAAGTAGCTACGATTTGAATGGAAATTGCCCATATTTACCTGTTTTTAAACCCGAAATTCTACCAAAGTTTCTAAGCCATACTACAGTCTAATATTTAAGAGTTACAATTTAATATTCTGAAAGTTTATCACTGTTAACAGTGATAATCGGACCAGAACAGGTCAAATTTTGAAGTTAAAAAAAGACAGTGGATATTTTTAAAGTCCGAGATCTGAATAAATATAGCCGCGAAATACAATAAATTAATAATCACTTGGTAATAATCGTTGCTTCGTAAGGGCAAACGAAGCTGTCGTGACAAACGAATCTGGTACCGGTTGAATTAATGCAGCCATAGCGAAGTAATTAGTCTTTATATTTAACAGGATTAAATCTGTCGTCCTCAAATGCACCTAAGTAGAAATTTTCCATTACATCGGCCACCTTGACATCAATGAGATGTTTACGACAATAGCGACTAATTAGAGCCCAGGCCTGCTCTGGCACTTTGCTGACGGCGCTAGGGACTAGGGATGATCACATGTATAACTGGGAGAAGCGAGGCATCAAAATATCGTGTATTTCAGACTTTCAAAATATTATTGACGTAGCTACTGTAAAGCTGAGAACATCAAACAAAGGCTCGAATTTAAGAAATACTGGTACATTTCAGTTTATTGCCAGTTTCGTGGACAGTAGTTTGAGTAATAGCCCTTACGAGTTGCAAATTGTAATTTATATCGCTCTAGGTTGACAGCCACGGATTGTATGTTGAATTGATTGACTGTAAAAAAGCTGCTGAATCGATCTGTTCTACACGCGTTTGGAATTTTGACTTTTACCACAAACAAGGTTAGTACTTTAGCGTAAGGCGTATGGTTGTATTTTGAAATGACCAAGTTTCATAACACCTGCTATAATGTAGATCAGTAGATATGTATTTCAACGCATAAGATAACACTAGCGACAATGCTGCATTTAGAATACCAAATATTATGGTAGAGCAGTATTTATCGTTGACGTAAACAAAGTTTTCTTAGATATAACTATTGCCTAGCCTAAGATTTAGTCTTGCAAGGAGGAAAACATGGTGTCCCAAAAAATCCCAAAACCATTGAAATCATTAACACTTATTGTTAAAATTTGAATGACTTGTTCGCGAATTTTTCCCTTTGAGGATTAATGCAACTCATGATAAAATACTCATGATGCAAACAAATTGCCACAGATAAGGGACATGTTCAATGAAGGTCATCGTACTGGAGTTGTAAATTTAAATTTTGTTATCCATATTGGTAAATATTGTTAATCATATCGCTGGTTGAGTCCCGTTAACGTAAACAAATTTCAAATTCAAAGCTAAGCCAATCATATTGCGTGTTTGCTGTGACGTAGGACAGGGTGATGGGATCCCGACGGCTTTTCAAAAAATTCAACCAAAAGGTGTTTGTATTTTCGTAAATTTCACATATTTGCAATGGCTTTAAAGACAAACAAATGTTTCGGAAATGTTTTAGAAGAGTCAGTTCCCACATAGATTTAGTTTTTTGCGTATATTTTTGTGTTTAAATACAAGTATTTTTATGTGTAAGTTTGTGTATGTAATTCGTAAATGTGAAAAAACGACAAAGAGTTGCCAACCTTATATTAATATATACATAAAGGTACACTGCACCGCACGAATTGGCGCCTGCGATAATATGTCAGTAGTGAATGAAGGAAGGTGACACTTCATGTCGTTTTGCATAGAATTTATTTAATATTTTAAAACTAAAATGAAATCCAATAGCGGGCTACCTGTGATCATATGTGGTTACAAAAAAATTTTATTGTCGTCATGCATAAAATTGATTATGCCAAACACTAATAGACTTGTAGGTCCCAACAGGGTGCTTGGGCACTCAAACTTTAACTATTACATTGTTATAGGTGATTTCAATAGTTTTGTATAATAATTATCCCTGTATATTATCGTTGATCGGAATTTGATATCAAAAATTTCTATTGTAATTATCGTATTATGCAAGCGTGCCATCAGCTTGACTAAAATGTTTGGCTCTGGCGATAATCTTTTTGAAAAATAATTTGTTCGGTCCGCTATAGCTCGTTAACTGTGAAGCAGGCACATAATATTAACGAAAACTTGGTAACATTTATACTTCAAATTATGCAAAGTTTATATTATTAGCAAAATTATAGAGAACATTACGGTAAACATATAAAGCTCATCGGACACGAATTGTAGCTTCAAAGAGAATGTAATCCGGCGAGCTCTGTCCCGATCTATATATCAAAATATTTCTATGTCTAAACCACCATTACAAAGAGCTGCGGTTTGATGCAATCCAAATGGCATGGATATTACGAAAATACTGTAATTTGAATGTTGTTTTGAGATTCCATCATATTTATGACCTCTGAAATATGACAATTTCGAAATACATTTGAACTCCAACAAGGAATATTATATAAATGAAAGTACTCTCAAAATTGTTGCAAAAAACTAAAATATCCGACCAAAATGCTATATACTGTTCACGCAAATACATACTATAAAATGATACCTCAAATGTCGATCATATTGCATTTGAGCGTCGATTAGGAATGATTTTCTCAGTCTTGAGAGCATAATAATATTGTTTATTCTCGACGACTGTCTACAACATCAAGTCTTAAATTACATATCACGTGTTTATACTCGTGACTAAATGCACTGGTTATTTTGACGTACACATGTAAAAATCTCCCATCTTGTCTCAAATCTCTCGCCAGAGTCTACAAGCTTGTAGCTAGCCTGCTGCGGGTTTGTAGCCATTGTCAACAGTTGTGTTCGAACTTCGAACACAACTTGATATCAGCTTGTTAGAATAATCCGTTGTAGAATCCGTTGTTGCTATAGACGCTACTCTGCTGCATTTGTCACAACTTGTGTGTTTTTGTGTGTATATATATACTGTGTAGATAGACTGGTTTACTATAATACAAATAGACTTTTATATAATGACCTGCAACAAGAAGAACTATATATATATATATATATATATATATATATATATATATATATATATATATATATACAAATATATATATATATATACACCCATTTGCAAAAACGTTGGCCGCAACGTTTATATATATATAAATATATATATATATATATATATATATATATATATTTATATATATATATATATATATATATATATATATATATATATATATATATATATATATATATATATATTTTTTTGTGCGACTCCATGCAGATTTGTAGTTTCCCATCTCACATTATGTGGCTCCAATGTTTCCGAAAAATATTGTTATAACCGCAAAAGTCGAAATGAGAAAGGACTCAACGGAGAAATTCTTCCATCTTTTTCTACGAGTGTTGATATAATTATATATTGCTATATATATTAGATATAAATTTTTACATTTTCGGCTGTTGCATTATAAATCTTTGCACTTCTAATCAGTCTCTTTATAATTTCAATCCACAAATTGACCAGCAAGAGACAGACTTTTTACACGCAGACTTCCATTACAGATTTTTGGCCCACAAAAAATGTTTACTTCTAGTATAATGCCTGAGACTACTATCTGTGACTGTAAGTCATTCTCTTTCCTTAAGCGGGAGGGGGGGGGGCAGATGGCGAGCGAGATAGGATTCAGGGAGGTCATGTGATCCTGAACTTTGGTGAGCTCCTTCTATGCGGAGTTTTATTTGGTCTTTTTTAAATAAGACTAACACCTAAACTTGTTCGAAATAATCCAGTACTGGTTTCATATATGGTCAATTTATATGACTTTGACGCTGTTTTCTCAGTATATAACGAGGTCATTTGACTAACTTTTTTCATGGTGAATTTTTTGGAGATCTTCCTCCAGTGACGTAACGTGACTACCTTAACTTGGGAGTGCAACCCGTAAAGCGCGTCTATAAAGAAAGCATATAATTATAGCCTCTTGGTTGGTCGATTGGTGCAAGTTTCAATTAGTTATCAGAGATTAAAAGTTATTATCATTAGTTATTATAGATTAAAATAAATTGCTTAAGTAGCTATATATATAGTGTATATAAATATTATCCACTTACTTAAACTGTAGCATGTTTCGATATCACTAGTAAAGTCAATACTATACTGGCAAATAATTCTTGATTGGACATTAGCTACATGCAAAAGCTTGAGAATCTGTTTGACGATATATCAGCAGACGAGTAAGACGATTTGTCAAATTATTGCAAGCAACTAAGCAGGTTGAAAAAAAATTTACTTTTTACCGACCGACGTCGCGTTTAACCCACCACGTTGCCAAAACTAGGGGGTTTAGCACCCCGCTACACCCCTCAGACAATATTTTTCGTCCTGCGGTTATTTTAGTTTCTCAAAACTGATTTTAGTAACTGTTCTCGTTTGAATTTGATGTTTTTTGGAACTCACGCTGTATCGCACTAATTGTGTAATAGATTTGAACCGTGTCAGGGTGATCTTCTCCATATAGTGTCAATCTAATTTCAAGATCTTTTTGATTTGAGTATAATTCTGACTTGTAATGCTAACTTTTCATCTCGTGCTGTGTGACTCCAATATTGTAATAACTATCAGATGTTGCCGCATGATCTTTTCCCTAAATTTTTAATCTCATTTCAAGCGCTTTTTGATATGACTATAATGCTGATTTGTACTCTCTTATCTCATGTTGTGTGACTCCAATACTATAGTAACTGTCAACTGTCTCAGGATAATCTGACTTCAATGCTGACATGAAATTTTTCATATCATGTTGTGCGTATCCAATATTGTAATAACTGTCGGATGTTGCAAGGTCATCATTTCCATACACTTTCAATCTGATTTCAACAGCCGCTTTTTCATGAGATTCTAAAGCTGATTTGTAATCTTTCATCTCGTATTTTCCCACGTATTTTCTCTAAGCAGGGGCGATTATGTTCATGATCTGCAGTTGCGCCGCTGCGTGAGGGAAAAGGATAATCTTTGAACTTGTATCAGCAAGGCTTTCGCGGTCAGAGTATCAAAATTTATTTTCGTATCATACAGAAAATGAGTCGGGCAGTTGAAGCTATAGAAATGCAGGTACATTTTAATTTTATTGCGAGTGTTGTTTGCTCGGTAAGAACTGTTTCAAATTTACATACATTGGAACGAGAGGTCCGAAAGATAGGGAGAGGTACGAAAGAAGGTAGGAAAGTAATGCACACTATAAAAACAGCATAACCAATTTATTTGGTTCTCTCAGATAAACAACCAATTTCAGTTTAGTTGTTTTTACAGAAATGAAATTGATCAAAAATAGATCGATCTAAGACAAGAAATTTTATGATGCATGGTGGTGGAGAACTGGCAATTCTGAACGCATTCCTGAACGCATTTCATAGAGTCTGTCTGGCAGACAAATACAATCTGTTCCGCACATGCTACTGACACGAGGGCTTTTACCCACGTTAATTATGACTGGATGATATCAACATCCGTCACATCGATCTCAATTTTTTCTCCACATGTAAACGACAAACTAGAATCCTTTCTAAATTGTGCCGATATTGCCATCCTCCCTCATGGGGGAAAACCCCAAACCACACGGCGTAGGCAAATATTGGAGGCATACGTGATTTTTGAATTTGTATATCTGTGAAAGTGCAAGCAATATTAAAATTTATAAAAGAGCTTATGCAATCGTAATTTTTTACCGTAGTTGACGCCTTATTTTTGGAAAGATCGTAATTGATAAAAAAATAGAAGTTAAGATAGTTGTGTTAAACATAGGTGTTGTGACATTTCGCTCCAAACCCCCATCAGCAGCTGCATGCCTACCTGCGAGTTATTTTACACAATCCACTAAATTCATTTAGGTACTGATGAATAATCTGATTCGAAATGTTTTTGGAATCCCATGCACTCAAACTAATCAAGAGAGAAAACAGTATAATTCTTAACAACGAAAAACAAGGAGTACTACTCTTGTGCGATAATATGATATGTTCTACCCTATGTATTTCAACCTAAAAAGTTTATGTTACAAATTTAGTTACTCTGTATTTCAACTCAACACTATATATTTACTAATAATAGTTTGTTTATTGGCATGTGTCAGCCTCATGGCCACAGGTTGTTATGGTATAGTTGGACACAATAATCAACATTTTACTCCAATACCTTATTTCTATTATTAGAATCTGAATCAACATTCTAAATCAACAACCGATATCTTTAACCAGTATCTGACATCTACTCGTATTACATCTCTCTTCTTGTCTCATTTATGTGCGTGTCATCTGCACATATATAATTTACCTCACATGCGCTCGTACATGACATTTCTGCTGCATATAACACAATCTTAGAGAGGACCATAACAGAATTCTAATAGATATGGGCGAGTATATAAACTAACATTGGCGAATAAAAATTGGGATTTAGATTGATTTTTAGATAAGATACTCTGTATATATTCTAATATTGCTTAAGAAACAAAAAATGTAGTTGAATTTTTTTTAATGTTCAGATGCTCTTCTCTACAAATAATCACTCCAAACTGGCGGTCTCCTTTGTATCTGTCCAGGGCTGGCCTTATTATTCAAAAGACCTTTTACCCGAGAAATATCGAGATCATATTCAGCCATCTCAGGATGATCTTCTCCAAAGAGTTTTACTAGGATTTGTAGAGCTTTCTCTTTAAATTCTAATGCTGACTTGTAATCCTTCATTTCCTGTTGTGCGATCCCAATTTGGGTATAACTATCAGCTGTGTCGAGATGATGTTCTCCAAACAATTTCAATCTAATTTGAAGAGATTTGTGGTGCGACTCTAATGCAGATTTGTATTCTCCCATGTCACATTGTGTGGCTCCCATCTCGCCGTAAATACCAGCAGTGTCAGGATGATTCTCTCCATGTAAATTCAAACTGATTCTCAGAGCATGTTCATGCGATTCTAAAGCAGACTTGTAATCTTTTATTTCGCGTTGTGTGATTCCAAGGCTGCGATAACTTACAACAGTATCGTCGTGGTATTCACCATGCACTTTCAGTCGCGCCTGTACGACATATTGATGCAGGTCAAGTGCTGCGTGGAGGTTCCTCATTGAACGTTGTGTGACACCAATCGCACGATACGTCTCTACGGTGTCTGGATGATTTTCTCCAGATATTTTTAATCTGACTTCGAGAGCTTTTTGTTTCGATTCTAACGCTGACTTGTAATTTTTCATCCCATGTTGTGTAAAGCCGATGTTGGAGTAACTACTTGCTGTCTTGGGATGATCTTCTCCAAATAGTTTTAAACTGATTTCGAAAGCTCTCTGATATGAAACTAATCCTGACTTAAAATCTTTCATCTTATTTTGTGTGTATCCAAAGTTCCTGTAACTGTTAGCTGTGTCAGGATGATCTTCTCCATATAGTTTCAATCTGATGTGAAGAGCTTTTTGATGTGAAACTAATGCTGACTTGAAATCTTTCATCTCATTTTGTGTGCATCCAATGTTGTTGTAACCAGTGGCGTCGCTAGGGGGGGAACTGGGGGGGACTCGTCCCCCCCACTTATTCTAAAGACCACTTTTGGGATTTTTCTAAATCTGAAGAGAAAAGGGGGGGGGGGGTACAATGATTCTAATTTCCAACAGCAGAGTAAA